TATATTTTTGTCAAATTTTTATGATATCTTCAAACTTATATTTTATTCAAAAATAAAAACATCATCATTTTCTCAAAATCACATAATACCATATTATAACATCGACTGAGATAAAGAATAAAATAAAATATTAAAATCAAGATGTATCTCGCTGCATTGCGCGAGTACCCTTCTAGTATATTATAAAACATTTGACAAAAACTCTTAAAACCCACTTTTTATGCGTAAAGTACTGTTTATTAATGCATATTACTTAAAACTCATGATTACAAGTAGATTGTGTGTAAGTATATCTGAATTCGTGTAACTAACTGCAGATAAATATAATCAAATACAATATAAACATTTTAGTTTAAACATAAAAAATCTAAAATATAATTAGGATAATCATTAAGTATTAACAAAATACTTAATTATTATATTAATAAAATGTTATATTATTAAACCAAAAATAAATTATTTTTTTATTAAACTTAAATTAAATTATAATAAAAAAATAAATTAAAGAAATTATATAGAAAATAGAACATTTAAATAGTTGATTTATATTAACATTGGTATTTTTTTTTTCAAATTTTTGTGATATTTTCAAATTTATATTTTATTCAAAAATAAAATAATTATTGCTTTCTTAAAAACACATAAAATCGTATTATAACATTGATAGAGACAGATAATAAAATAGAACATTAAAATGATATGTCTCGTTGCATTGCGCGAGTACTCTTCTAGTATATATAAAACTAGAAATATATTACAAGAAATAACAATTAAAATTCAGTTAAGTTTAAATAATACACATTAAACAAAATCAACATACTTATTTTTCTAAATGTAATAAAAGACATGTTTAAAATTAATAGATCAATCAAAGTAATTTTAAATAGATAAATTAATAAAAATAGCCATTTTAACAGTATGGTTTCATATCTTAGTCATTTCTCTCTAAAAATTACACAAATGTTACCACCTCCGCGTCTTTCATTAAAGACCTAGCTAAATGACAAAACATACTACTGAAAATTACGGACGTTGGTAAAAAATGAACATTTATTTGTGGATGTGGGTAAAAAGTGTAACATTTTTTGTTGAGTGGGTGAAAACTGTAACATTTGTTGCAGATATGGGTGAAAAACAGTAACATTCTTTTGTCGTTTAGCTAGGTCCGTAAATTACATACATGAAAATTACAGGGGTAACAACATTTATGTAATTTTTGAAGAGAAAATGGATAAGAGATAAAACTAAATAGACAAAATAGCTATTTTAATTAATCTATTTTTTAAATACTAAAAAGGTACTTGCACAATGCAGCGAGATAAATCTTCATTTTTTGTTTAGTTTTTATTTTTTGTCTTTATCGATAAAATACGATTTTATGTGGTTTTGAGAAAACAATAATGTTTTTATTTTTTTAAATGAAATATAAATTTGAAGATATGATAAAAAATAAAAAATAAAATAAAATCGGTATTAGTATTAAATTAATTATTTAATAAATCTATTTTTTTTATGTATAACTTCTTTAATTCAATTTTTTATTATAATTTAATTTAGGTCTAATAACAAAGTAATTTATTTTTATTTAATAATATAATTTTTATTAAATATAGTAATTAAACATTCTGTTAGAAATTCAATGATTATCTTAATTATATTTTAGATTTCTATATTTAAAATAGATGTTTATCATGTATTTGATTATGTTTATCTGTAGTTAGTTACACGAATTTAAAAATAAAGCTTTAATAAGTTGTACTTACGTACAATCATTTGTAATCTTGAATTTTAAGTAATATCTATACTATATTATAAAGCATTTGACAAAAACTCTTAAAAACTATATTTTATGCATGAAGTACTGTACATTGATACATATTACTTAAAATTTCAGATTATAAGTAAATTATACACAAGTACAACTTATTAAAGCTCCATGTTTGAATTCATATAACTAACTGCGGATAAACATAATCAAATAGAGGATAAATATCTCGTTTTAAAATATAAAAAATCTAAAATATAATTAGGATAATTATCAAGTTCTAACAAAATAATTAATTATTATCTTTATAAGAAAATTATATTATAAAACCAAATATCTATCTATACTATATTATAAAGCATTTGACAAAATTTTTTAAAAACTATTTTTTATGCATGAAGTACTGTACATTTATGCATATTATATAAATTTCAGATTATAAGTAAATTATGCACAAGTACAATTTATTAAAGCTCCACGTTTGAATTCGTGTAACTGCATGCGGATAAACACAATCAAATAGAGGATAAACATCTCATTTTAAATTATAAAAAATCTAAAATATAATTAGGATAATTATCGAGTTCTAACAAAATAATTAATTATTATATTTATAAGAAAATTGTATTATTAAACCAAATATAAATTACTTCATTATTGAACCTAAATTAAATTATTATAAAAAAATTTAATTAAAAAATTACACAAAATATAGGAATTTTAAATAGTATATATGATACTAATATCTATGTTTTTTTTGTTAAATTTTTATGATATATTCGAGTTTATATTTTATTTAAAAATAAAAACATAATCGCTTTTTCAAAATCACATAAAATCATACTATAACATCGACTGAGATAAATAATAAAATGAAATATTAAATCAATATGTATTTCGCTACATTGTGGGAATACCTTTCTAGTACTTTAATAAACAGTACTTCATACATAAAAGTTTTTATCAAATATTTTATAATATAGTATAGATTATTTATATAAATAATAATAAATAAATAAATAAATAAATAAAAATCTTATTTACGTGAACCCAAAAGTACATATAAACATAGCAAAGTTGGGCCATTGCAGCCCCCTAAGCTTCCATAGATGCCCCTCTCTTCCTCCATCTTTCTCCAATCCTTTCTCTCGCCCCCCCTCTTTACCCTACCTGCAAATCTCCAAGGCCACATCAGAAAATATTTACACTTTCCTATTTGCACTCGACTTCAATCAGGTATTTGATTTCCCTCCCACCCCTTTCTTTTTCTTCAATCATTTAAACTATAACTTTCATACGGAACGGAACCCTATCCATTGGTTTCCTACCCTCAATCATGAAACTCGACTAAATCAAGATTAGCTCGAATAGTGTTCGATCCTCAACGATTGAGGCCGTCTCCCATCTGGGTTTTTGTTTTCGCATCACAGATTTATAGGGTTTGACTTTTCTGATTTCGACTATTTCTCGTTTGGGGTTTTTGATATTACACTTATTCATCGTTGCCCGTTTGATATTGTTAATTCGTGAATGTGGAATGAAATTCTCGAGCTCCAATTCGTTGGTGGGGTTTCACTTGTTATGTAGTTTGTTTTGTTTCTGGGATTTTGATTGCAATCCTCCATAGTTTTTGTAAACGATCGAATTGTTCAATTGACTTCTGAATTAGGTTTAGATTGATTTCTTATGGTTACAGAGATGGCGGCAATTGTGCCATTGAAGAAGATGATAGCCATTTGCCAATATGGGGGCGAATTCGAGACGAATGAAGATGGGTCGATGTCATATATTGGTGGGGAGGCCTATGCTGTTGATCTTGATGAAAATATGCAGTTGAGTGGTTTCAAGCAAGAAATAGCCGAAACTATCGATTCGACTGTGGATGGGATGTTGATTAAGTATTTCTTGCCTGCGAACAAGAAGAATCTGATTACTGTTTCTAAAGATAAAGATTTTAATAGAATGGTGAGCTACTATAAAGAATCTGATCAGCTAGAGGTGTTTATAATGAAAGAAGCTGCACCAGCTAAATTTCCGAAGAAGAAGCAGCCTGCTCGTAGGTAATTTCATGATCCAAATCTTTAAAAAATTTCATGATCCAATGCTATTATTATTCTTATATGATGAAGTGTAGTACATTTTGATGATCAAGACAATCTGGGATATGTGGGATGGGATGGAGCATAACTTGTAGGCCCACGTTTGGTGCGATATTAAACTGTGTCGCAAGATGGGATTGAATATGACAATGATGCATTTTCTTGTTCCACCAAAAGAGGTGGAACAGAAGTCCGGTGATTTAGTTAAATGACCTCCTAACATGTACTTTTTAAACCCGTTACCTTCTGACAGGTTTTTAGGTTGTTCTTCTGTATGAAAGCGACATTCTTCTGTTAAGTAGTGGTATTCTTAAATATATCAAAAGGTTCTGAAAAGAAAAACTGATAGAAGGTCATTTAAAGGACTCAACAAAAGTCGGGAAGATTGGGCAATTACTAAACTACCATTGTCAAATTAAGACACTAAGGTGCTGTTTGGTTCACATAATTCAAAGTAATTGGAATGATCAATTCCTTTGACCAAATTCCAATTCCTTTGTTTGGTTTACATATTGAAACGGATGGAATCCTTTGAATTCCGCAAGTTAAAGAATTGATCCTTCCTTGGCATAAGTGAATGAATTGAATTTCATCTTCGCCCATCCCTTGCCCCCACCATGACCATGTTACTACTGTTACCGTCACGCCCCCTAACCCCCCACTACCATACCACTACAGTCGCTGTCACAACCGCCACCCACCCTAGCCCAACCCCAACCCCAACCAGCCACTGACCACCATGCCACTACTGCTGTCATCACACCCGCCCACCCCACATGATCACCCACCCTACATCCCTACTATACTACGACCATGCTACTATTGTCACTGTCACGTTCCTACCCTAACCCCCCACTCTCCACCACACCACTATTGTCGTTGTCACAACTGCCACTTACCCCCACCCCACGCTACCCCAACCCACCTCTGACCACTATGCCACTACCGTCATTGTCACACACACCTCACCTCCACCCCCGCCCCTCCCCACCTTGGCCTCACCACCATGCGACTATTGTCGTCGTCACAACCACTACCCCACCCTGCCTACCCCGCCCCTTCTCACCCCTGCCCGCCCTACCCAAACCCTGCTGCCCCTGCCTGCCCCACCTTGCCCAACCCCCTACCCCCACCCTGGCTTTCACTACTCCCTGTCCCTGCCCTCCGCACCCACATGAGTGGGTAGTGGCCACGGGGTAGCTGTGACGACAACATTAGTTGCATGGTGGTCGGTAGGGTGTGGGTGAGGTGGTGAGGCCAAGGTGGCGGATGGGTGGGGCAACGGGGTGGGGGTGGTAGCTGTGACGACGACAATAGTGGCATGGTGGTCGGTATGGGTGGGCCGGGCCGGGGAAGTAGTGGTGTGGTTTTCGGTAGGGTGTCGACGGGGCGCTAGGGGTGGGGTGGGCGAGGTTGGCCAGTAGTGGCATGGTGGTCGGTATTGGTGTAGGCGGGGTGGTGGGCAGGGGGTCAGGGGTGGGGAGGGGGGGATGGTAGCTGTGATGACGACAGCGTGGCATGGCGGTTGGTAAAGGTGGGGTGGTTCAAACAAAGATGGAGATTCCAAAAGAGATTCTATTCCAATTCCTACCAACCAAACGTATGGTCAAAGTTCTATTGAATTCCATTCCAATTCCTTCAAAGTCAATTCTTTTGATGAATTCCAATTCCACCAAATTCCATTATGGGAACCAAACGCCCCCTAAGGTGTTTGGTTTGATGGAATGGTTATGAAGGATTTGGATTTCATGGAGGGATTTGGATTCGGAAGGATCTGAAAGTTTTGTTGTGTTTGGTTTGTAGTATTTGGAATGAAATTGAATTCCATTTTTTAAAATAATTTATAAAAACAAATTATAAAATATTATAAAAAATAATTAAATTACCTTTTTATAAAATGATTATTACAAACAAGCGTTTTTAACATATTTTAAAACATTATTACATACAAAACCTACAAAATCCCGTGAAATACCAACCATCCTCGTGGGACCTCAAAATCATATGTTGTGGGATTTAAGTGAAATCCCGGGATTTCAAATCCAGTGAATCCATCAAACCAAACATGAGATTGGAATGGAATTCAATTCCAAATCCCATATGATCCTTCAAACTAAACGGGACCTAAAACCTTCTTCAATTCTCTTACCTGCTACCTTAATCTCTCCCACCCAGTCCTATCCGCGTACCAAATGCACCCTCTGTGACTTTATGGTCCTAAATTTTTTAATGCTCATTTGGTTCAGTTTCTATAACGAGTTTCTATTACATGTTTATGGTTCTGCTTTTCGATAGCGAAAAAGGGAAAATGAATGTTTGATAAAATTTCATGAAAGGAGTAAATTGTAAGCCTTTGTTACCGTTCTGATGACTGTTTATTATTTGCATAAAAATGTAGATCGCAAAAGAGACCGGCCGAGACAGAAGTGGCAGTGGTTCAGCCCGTCGTCGATCTTGGCCCGACCAGTATAGTCCCTCTTAATGAAATTATCGACATAGAAACAACCAATGAAATCGCTCCAATTTCCGATCCAATCTCCATCAATCCTTTCCCTACGTCTGTGATCGATAACGAGCAGCACATAGCTGCAAAACAATGGGAGAATCTTATAACGGGAGTTGGCCAAAGATTCCATTCATTAGCTGAATTCCGAGAGGCTTTAAGGAAGTATTCAATCGCTCATGGGTTCAATTATGTATACAAAAAGAACGAAAATCAGCGTGTTACTGTGAAATGCAAATCCGAAGGTTGTCCATGGCGCATTCATGCATCACGGCTATCGACCACCCAATTAGTTTGTATTAAGACCATGAAACCAACCCATAGTTGCCAGGGAGGTTCGATAAAACCTGCATTTCGAGCTACAAGAAGTTGGGTCGGAAATCTGATAAAAGAAAAGGTGAAAGATTCTCCGAAGATTAAGCCGAAGGATATTGCAAATGATCTTAAACGGGAATATGGAATCGAGCTGAATTATTCGCAAGCCAGGCGTGCGAAAGAATACGCAAGAGAGCAGCTTCTAGGATCGTATAAAGATGCATACAGCGAGTTACCATATTTTTGCGAGAAAATAATGGAAACGAATCCGGGGAGTCTTGCTATTTTCAATACGAAAGAGGATTCGAGTTTTCATCGCCTCTTTGTTTCTTTCCACGCCTCGATATCTGGTTTCATACACGGTTGCCGCCCGCTCATTTTCCTTAATAGCACGCCTCTGAACTCGAGATACCAAGGGATGTTGCTGTCTGCAACGGCGGCAGATGCGGATGACGGGGCTTTTCCGGTGGCATTTGCTGTAGTGGACGAGGAAACAGATGATAACTGGCGGTGGTTTTTATGTGAACTCAAACTTGCTGTGTCGGTCGTTGGACAAATTACGTTTGTTGCAGATTTTCAGAAAGGTTTGCGGGAGTCTTTGCCGGAAATATTTGGCGCCGAGTGTTATCACGCTTATTGTCTCGGTTATTTAGCCGAGAAACTTAACAAAGATTTGACGAGCCACTTTTCACACGATGCTAGACGACTTATGGTCGAAGATCTGTACGCTGCTGCTCATGCACCAAAACTCGAGGGTTTCGAGAAATGTACAGAAGACATCAAAGCCATTTCTCTCGAAGCCTACAATTGGATCATTCGTAGTGAGCCCGAGCATTGGGCTAACGCCTTTTTTGGCGGGTTGAGATATAACCATATGACATCCAATTTTGGCCATCTTTTCTACGCGTGGGTCTCAGAGGCAAATGAGTTGCCGATAACTCAAATGATCGACGAATTAAGAGGCAAAATGATGCAGCTGATATACACACGAAGAGTTGAATCGAGTCAGTGGATTACGCGATTAACGCCATCTATGGAGGAAAAGCTAAAGAACGAAATCTTTAAAGCACACTCGGTTCAAGTTTTACGATCACACGGAAGCAAATTTGAGGTCCGATTTGGTGAAATGATCGATATTGTTGATATCGAGAACTGGGATTGTAGCTGCAAAGGATGGTTGGTTACTGGTTTGCCTTGTTGCCATGCTATAGCTGTTCTTGAATCTTATGGCAGGAGCCCTTATGATCATTGTTCAAGATATTTTCATGTTGACACCTACCAAATGGCGTATGCGGAGTCGATTCACCCGATACCGAATGTCGAAAGATTAATGGATATTGAATTAGATGATGGTTCGATTGTCGTTACGCCTCCGCCCACGATTCGCACACCGGGAAGGACAAAGATACGGAAGGTTCCAGTAGGTCAGGTCGGACCAGCCGACTTTCTTAAACGCCAACTCCAATGCGGGAAATGTAAAGGGCTCGGTCACAATAAGCGATCATGCAAGTAGGTCTTCCTTTCTTTATAAAATGATATTTTTTCTTGATATCCTTTTACGTAAATACGATTACTTAAGGTTGCTTACTACCTGCTTATATCGTCTCTTCTTACTGGGTAAGAGGTGCTTATCCGTTCAGAGATGTAGTTGTTTACCATGCCTCCTCTTACTGGTCCATGATACTGGCCTGGTAATATAAGGGAGGGGCGGTATTCGATCAGTGATTAGCGTCCACGATCAAAATTGCATACAGTTTTAGGAAGGCGTAATTATTACACTTTTTATTTAACTAAATGACAATTTTACCATTAATAACAGAAGTAATTAATTTCTCCGTTTCATAATTAAGGGTAGAATTGGAAACTAGGGCCTTACTTTTGACGCTTAGGGTCTGGTTGTTAGCAGCTTACTGAGGTTAATGGGACTAACAGCTTATTCAGTCAACTATGTTTGGTAGTGGCTTAATGATATTGAAAGTGGCTTATTCAGTAAGCTTTTAAGGGGAAGTTCTATGCAGAAAGCAAGTTTTTCCCAAACCAGCCCCTCCCACTTAAAAAACAAGCTCCTTCATCTGTGACAAAACACTCAATCTATACAGAAGATTAGACCACACAGACATCTTTATCCACACAGGACTTAATGGAAAACAATCAAACAACGCCCTGTTATGGGACAAGATAACATAGAAATGTGGACACGGAGGTAGTACATGAACTCAAATAGTATTCTGCACTTTAATTATCTGATTTTGAATCTTGAATTCACAACAATCATCTTGAAAACGCACATCCAAACACCCTTTAAAAAAGATTAGAAAAACGAAGCTTTTATGTAGTTGTTTCTTGGCGTCTTCATCTCTTACACGAATAATACTTCTCATCGGAAACCTATCACCAAATTTTTTGTGGTTAATGGATCGGTTTTGGTTTCAGAGAGGATCACGAATAGTGCACAACTTCTCGAAGAGGACAGGGTGCTCGGGAACGACGATTTGGAGTCGTAATATGCTCGTTGCAGCAAGGCGGTGGATCGAAATCGGTCAGAATTCATAGCATGTTTCTGATTTTGCTGTCAATTAAATGTAAATGTTGATAATAATTTCATAGGCAGCCTGGTTTTTTTTGGAGGTTTAAGTTTTAGGGTAGATTAGTTTAGGGTTGGTTATTTATGGTATTTGAAGTAGTAGGTGATATAAAGAGGTTTTTGTCAAGGAAGCAATGGTTATTTATTGCACACTTGGTAGCCATTTTACACCTTTAAAGGGTTCTTTTTTTAATATTTTGTTTTAGTAAAATTCTTTTTAGAATAATATGAAAAAATTGTAACATTTTATTTTTTTGACATATGTTTTTTGGGTGCGTTTAAAGTTAAACCGATCTCAAGATCTAGAATATACCGGTCTTGTTACTTTTATTAGAATCCAATCCCGAATGGGAGTTTTTCTATGTATATATTGCTGGTTATTTTGAGTCATTGGTTTGATCGTTGTCGTTATCAAAGGATAATTAGAGATGAAACTTTGACCTAAGAGATGCATCAAAAAGCCTGATGTTCGGTTTTAGGCAGGTCTTAAAGTGTGATAAGGATCCTTTTTAAACTCTAAAGCCCGGCAAAAATGCCCGAACCTTTTTTTGCTCACTAAAAACAAGCTTGGAAGGCTTGAACCTCGTGCATCTCTAGTTTGATGTTGGACAGAGTAACAGGGTGGGGACGAGGGTTTTGAACCAAATTTTATATATATCTGATTAACCTGTTTAGTTTTACCTGTTAAAGGTGACATGCCTTAATAATATCAACTATATATTATGTCATATTTAAAATTCAAATAACAAATATGAAATGATGACATGTTCGTTTTCTTTATATATAGACAATTATTTATTTTATATCGATTTTATGGTTTAAATTTCACCCTTATTTTAGGGGTATTATGGTCAGTTTACAACATTTATTTATATTTTTAATATTTTTTGCTAAGACAAAACGACCATATGTATATACTTTAACGTTAAAACTGCACCAATTAGATTAAGACATGTGTCCTATAATAAATACCCTTCTCCCTCCCTTCGTTGACCACACCACCGGTCAAAATGGATTAAGATAATACCACTATTAATTAATGGGGATTCGATTTCGGTTACAAATTGATTTCAAGGCTTTTTTTGATGTTGATCGAATTAACCTCCAAACCACCATTAATGGGGATCCGTTTGAGTTCATAGTAACTCGATTTGGCTTCTTGCTTCAAATGATACACGAATAATTTTTGCATAACAGCATATAAAAGTTGGGTCGATTTAGGTTAGTTATAAAATCGGGTCAGATCCGGGTCCTGGGTAAAAAACGGGTGAAGAAGATGATCAACTTAGGCATGAGAATGGACTCCGACCCGTCGGAGAACCCGATCGGGGACGGGGATTCCTCGTTAAATCGGTGATAGGGACGAGGACGGGGATCCCCGTTTGTCTCAAACCGGGGATGGGTATGATACTCTCAGCCCCGTCCCGTACCCGTTATATATATTAATTAATAAGTTATATATATATATATATATATATATATAATTTCAACTAAAACAGTAACTCATAATTTCATATTTTCTAACTAGGTTTATAATCTAAAATTGTTATTTTTTGGATGTTAATATGTAATACTTTAGAAGTCAAGTCATAATACAATTACTCGATAAATTTTGTATGTTAGTCGATATGGTTTTATATTACTCAATATCTTTTGGTACATGTGACTTTAAGTTTTTTTTTTTGTGTGTATGAAATTGAATTTTTTTTTGGTTTTAGGATATAAGTTCTTATATGATGTTGTGGTTTTTTTTGTATTAAATTAAATTCATTTTGGTTTCAGGTTTATTGAAAATGTTTGAGATTTAAACATGTATGACCTCTCACATATTTAATTTAAAATAACTTATATAAACGGAAAAAAAAATCTTCGTTTCCCCGTTAGGGATGGGGATGGGGATGTGAATATATTTCCCGGCGGGGATGGGGACGGAAACGGGGATAGAGATAAGTAATCGGGACGAGGACGAGGACGAGGATTAAGGTCCCCGCCCATTCCCATGCCTAGACCAACTTTTGGTCATGTTCATCTTCGGACCTCCAACTTGTAATGTTATACATTATGACCCTTGCTTTAAAAAGTTTTGGCAAAAAAGATTAAAATACAGAAATTTTAAACGGACCACAATACCCTCGTACTCAGGGCCGTCCCTGGGGGAGGACGGGCCGGACATACGCCCAGGGCCCATAAAAATTAGGGGCCCAAATTTTTATAATATATATAATAGTAGTTCAAAAAAATTAGTAAATAGAAGACACATAAAAAAAATTAGTATCTAATATAACAAGAAAAGATTTTGGTACTATATTAACTACTAAAGACCCAAACATGTATGAATCAAATATATTGGAGATAAAAAATACACAATGAGGTTAATCTGTCGTTCATTATATAATATTATTTAATATTGTTCTAAGTTTTTTTAATCTAAAACCGACGTCTAAAACTACTTGCTTCGAAAACTTTGATATATCATCCATAATTTATCTCCCATCGACTCTTTTGATTGTTCCATTTTCGCATGAATTCTATTTTTATATTAGAATATGATAGATTTTATTGTTATTAGCTAACAAAACCTTCATCTTTCGAAAAAAATTACCAACCATATAAGACGGTACATTTTATATTTATATTTAGAATAATAAAACTATACTTGTTTTTTTCCTAGTTATTCTTTATTATCTAATATGGAGTGTATAAATCTTATGTAATATTCTATCTCTAAAAGAAGAATAAGATCTCAAACTATCACCAACATGAGTTTTTTAATTTATATAATCGATGATTCCGAAAAAGTTTGTTTTAACGCTAACCCTAAGTTTTTGAGTCTTCTTTTATGTAGGAAAGAGAGAAAAAATATTTTGTTTTCGAGATTTTTTTAAGGAAATGAAAAGAAAAGTAAAGGAAAAAAATTGTATTAAAATTTATTTTTATTTATTTACTTTTCCTTCCTCTCTCTTCATTAAAAACACACATAAAAAACTTTATTTTTCTTCCTTTATTTTCTTCCTAAATTCGAAAACGTAATATAAAAGTTTAAAATGATGTTAATCTTTCCAAATTCGAAACATAATATAAAAGTTTAAAATGGTGTTAATCTTCCCAAATTCGAAAACATAATATAAAAAATTTAAAATTATGTTAAAAAACATTAACATGAGATGACATGGAAAACCAACCTATTTACATTGATTTACATAGTGTCTCTCGGAAATCAGAATAATCGACCTCGTGACCCGAAATGATGTCATTCTATGTACCAAAAGTATATCATAGGATGTTTTTGATGATGAAACAAATTACGGATACTACATAGAAATGTTCTAGTAGATAATATTAATTTAGAAATTAGTATTGATTGATTTTGCGTCCATAATAGTCGAAAAAACGGTTTTATATGAATTCAATGTTAATTCTGATGATAAAAACAATATATTAAAAAAATATCGTACTTATCAAGGGCCTATTCTTACATCTCGCCCAGGACCTAAAAAATGTTAGAAACGGGCCTGCTCATACTTAACGGAAATGGTGGACGGTCCCTTGCACGAGAGACCACATCCAAGAGAAATTGCATAGGTGAAGGGGTTCTTTTGTAATAAATAAAAATAAAAGACCAGTTTTACAGTAAATGACAAACCTTAAAGACCAAATCCATAATTGACTCCAAATTAAAATATTATTACTATTATTAAAATTGTGAGTTTTAACATCATAGGAATTGTCATTTTGTATAATAATTATAATTTATTGAAGTAATGAGCGGAGTAGGGTAGGGTAGGGTCGTAGGGATGAGGGAGGGGCGTAAATGAACGTGTTTCATTATGTAGATAACAACTCCTTTGTTTTGACTGAATATAATTACAATTTATCTGAGTAATGAGCGGAGTAGGGCAGGGATTAGAGAGGGGCGTAAATAGAACACGTATCATTGATATGTAGATAACAACTCCTCTTTTTTACACTAAATATAATTATAAGTTAGGAGTAACGAGCGGAGTAGTGTAGGGTCGTAGGGATTAAGGAGGGGCGTAAATAGAACATGTTTCATCGATATGTAGATAACAACTCCTTTGTTTTGACTAAGGGATTGTTTGGCCGTTGCTGCAACGGTTTAATGCAGAATGATTAAATGGTTAGAATGATTAAGAGGCTCTCATGATATAGTGCAAAATGAAATAGAATTGCTTGGTAATTATTTACAACGAAATTAGGGCGCTGAATGGTTAAGTGAGACACATGATACAAAATCATTCAGAGGGTTTTAAAACCATTAAAAAACATTTTTTTTGACAAACAAGATTCACCTCTTAATAATTCAGAAACTACCTTTTTCAACTTGGTTTTCATTCAACCCTGTAACCATCTGCTTATATATAGAGGGAAATAAACATACATATACACTCAAGAATTCCACAAGATTGGTTCTGAATTTTCTTTGATCACAAAGGCAAGCCACACTCACTTTTATCCCTAATTTCTGTTACATTTATCAATTTACCTCCAATTTGTTGTACTTTTCTTTGAATTCTTATTGCATTCTCATTTACCAAACACTTATCTGGGTAAGCTCTTACCAAGTCATATTATCTTACCGAATAAATATGGCAAAGATCAAGAATCTTACCCGGTAAGAGTGAAGACAAGGACTAAGGGGCCGTTTACCAAACGCTTACCCGATGAAGCGCTTACCAAGTAACATTACCTCACCGGATGAATATAATAAGGACCAAGAATCTTACCCGGTAAGTGAGGGCGACGACTCTTACCACGGTAAGCGCTTACCAGGTAAATTGTTGTATACTATGTCGTTTTGGTGGACTAAAATATTACCCGGTAAGTACATGATAGTGTTAAATTTTACCGGTAAGCACTTACCGGGTAAGTGTTTGATAAACGTCCCCTAAGAGTCTTACCCGGTACGTGATGACGACGACTCTTACCACAATTAGCACTTATCAGGTTTATTGTTGCATACGATACCGTTTTGGTGAACTAAAATTTTACAATGTAAGTAATTGCCAGTGTTCAATTTTACCAATAAGTACTTATCGAGGTAAGCGTTGGTAAACGGCTTAATTTGGTTTGATTTCTGTGGATTACTTTACTATAACACATTAACTTTTATTCATTTATATTAACTTTTTTTTGTTGTTTTATGACCATAACAGTTCATTTCTAACTCTTGTAATTTCTATGTGTTTATGGTGGGTCTTATATTTAATATCAACCTTTATTAGGAGTTGTTTGTTTACCTTTTAATAATTTTATTAAAAGACAGTTTCTGAATTGTTAAGAGGTGAATCTTGTTTGACCAAAACAAATTTTTTTGTCTCTTAATGGTTCTAAAATGCTCTGAATGATTTTGCATCCTATGCCTCCTTTAAACATTCAGCGCCCTAATTTCATTGTAAACAATTACCAAACAATTATATTTTATTTTGCACTATATTATGAGAGTTTCTTAATCATTCTGACCATTTAATCATCCTGCACCAAACCATTCAACAACTACTAAACACCCATTCGTCACCGGAATGACATTAATTGTTACACTAAGGGGTCGTTTATCTAAACACTTACTCGGTAAGCACTTACCGATAAAATTCCACACTATCGCTTACTTACCAAGCAAGATTTTATTCACTAAAACGCACCGTATGCAACAATTTATCCCGGTAACCGCTAACTATGATAAGAGTCCTTGTCCTCACTTACCGGGTAAGTCTCTCGATTCGCGCTTTCGTTCTTACCGGTAAGATTCTTAGTCCTTGCCATATTCATCCGGCAAAATAAAGTGACTTGGTAAGCTCTTACCCGGATAAACGTTTGGTAAACGGCACCTAAGTCCACTTTTGAGGACATCAAATGTTGCATTAAACAACCACTAGTTTCACTTCAACAAGACACTCTAATTTATATTAAAATAGTGTTATAAATAGTAAAACGTCAAATTTGGTATCACACTATTCATTTAAACTGTTCTTTTTGTTAAAACTTACAACATGGTCGTTTACATTTGAGATTTATTTATTTTTAGTTTATTGTATTATATAATAATATTTTAATAAAAAATAATACAAACAACTCATTAGGGCAAATTGGTCATTTTATATAAGTCTTATCTGACAAAACGCTGAACAATTGTCCTATGTGCTTGTCTAGATGGTGCATGATTTCCAATGACATGTATGCAATGGATGTTGATGGTTGTACGGATTCATACTAATTCTAGAATGATCTATAGGTTTTAGTTTGTTGAAATGACGACGACAACAACAACTACCATCCAAATCGCTTCTTCTACTTTACCTTTTCCTCAAGTTTTCACGTCAAGTATTGCAACTTTCAGTAGTCGTGCACCGTTATCATTATCTCGGAGGATGACCTCCACCTCCGCTCCTTTGAGATTTCGAAGGATGATCACGAAAGCCAGATTTCATTCGAATGACGCAAAACCTCTCCCAGGGCTACCTATCGATCTCAGAGGTTTGCTTTCAGAATGTAAATGCCAATCTGTATAGGGTTAGCTTAACTGGTAATAAGATTTGGGCCTTTTGGGGATTTTTCACTGGTTCGAGTTTTGCAAGGCCACCAGTGGTTTTCCCGTCTCTGGGATTAGTCAAGGTACACGCAAGCTGGTCTAAACACCCACGATTAACAACAAAAGATGATCATTGCTGATAATATCTTTTGTGGACGAATTTTACGCTTAAGATAGCTGTTAGTGCGTAGACCAGATGAGACAAGACCGAACAAGAGAAAAACAACTTAAATTTTTTTCTAAAGAAAACAGTTCAGTTCTTCTTTGAAATGGTGCTAGAATTTTATCAGTTCTCCTCGCCGTTTTCTGTTCTTCGTATCGCCTATCACACTATTGGCTCTTGTCATCAATTCCCTTCTTTTTGATCTGTTTTTACGGGGTTACAAGTCGTTTTTCCACTTAAACCTTTCAAGTCAGTTACAAATATATATTTTTTGGTTAAATATGATGTAAGTAACCAATTTTTAAAAGTTCAATGATTTATTTTATTGAAGAAAGTTGTATAGGGCCTAAAACTTTCTAATAAAAAAATTTAATGGTTCTTTTATTCAAAAAAATAGTTGAAAGACTTGATCATTCAAAATGAGATAGTTCATTAGATTTTTCTGAACTTCTTTTTAAGAGCTAACTTATGATTAACTAAACTGATTTTTCTTAATAAACTAGCTTATGACTAACAAACGCTCTACAGGAAAGAGAGCATTCATTGCTGGTATAGCTGATGATGATGGATATGGTTGGGGGATAGCCAAATCTCTGGCTGTTGCTGGTGCTGACATCCTTGTTGGCACATGGGTTCCGGTATATACCTATTTATACCTTATCGGCATATTTAGATATACTAGAAGGGTACTTGTACAATGTAGCGAGATACATCTCGATTTTAGTGTTTCATTTTTTGTTGTCTTAGTCGATATTATAATACGGTTTTATGTGGTTTTTAGAAAGCGATAATGTTTTGTTTTTTGAATAAAATATAAATATGAAGATATCATAAAAAATTAAAAAAAATATTGATATTAGTATCAGACTAACTATTTAAAATTTCTCATTTTTTTATGTATTTCTTTAATTCATTTTTTTTATTTTTGGTTTAATAATATAATTTTTTATAAAGATAATAATTAAGTATTTTGTTAAAACTTAATGATTATCCTAATTATATTTTAGTTTTCTTTATATTTAAAATGCGATGTTTATCCTTTATTTGATTATGTTTATCTAAAGTTAGTTATACGAATTCAAACATGAAACTTTAATAAGTTGTATTTACACATAATTTACTTGTAATCTTGAATTTTAAGTAATATGCATCAATAAACAGTACTTCATGCATAAAAAATAGTTTTTAAGAGTTTTTATCAAATGTTTTATAATATATTATAGATAACATTAAATGAGATTTTAATTAAGTTCATTATATTTTTTCTTCGAGATATTTAACGATATTGACTTTAAATTAGTTTTGAGCTATTTTTTCTTTAATAGATTAAGAGGTCATGAATTTAATTAAAATCTCATTTAAGGTTATATATCTGAATGACCATAGATCCTCAACCTATTTACAGTGTATTCTAGTTTTACTTTTTTGGGGTAGAGATCATATCTGCATACGTCTCACCTTTTTCGGATAAAACATACTGGGTTTATTTGGTTTGGTCTGTCATTACTGACTGTTCACCTCTATAGGCACTTAATATATTCGAGACCAATATTCGGAGGGGGAAATTTGACGAATCACGCATGTAAGTGTGAATATTGTTTTTCGGTTATTTTAAGATAATATGGTGATCGATGATCAACCGATTTTGTTGTTTTAGGTTGCCAGACGGGTCTTTGATGAATATTAGCAAAGTATATCCCTTAGATGCACTTTATGATACTCCTGAAGATGTTCCTCAAGATGTAGGTTTCAAAGAATTCCTGCAATTTATACTGATACATCAAATAATTAACGGTTATAATTTTTCTAAAATAGAGTATTAAAAGTTAAAATCTTAAAAAAAAGTTTACATTCAACTCCAACATCTACTTTATTTTAACAATTTCAGCATTAATTATATTATTAAAATATTTTATAAATTCATCATTTCAATACACTTTATTAAAAAATTATAGCACATATAACCTCATTAGTAGAAACAATTAAGGGGAACCACAAGCGTGATGTCTGATTGGTTTGAGCTTGACTCCAAATGTCAAAATTACATGGAGGTCCCAGGTTCAAATCCAAAGAGGAATAAAAATCCCCTTGTGGCCACGGAGGTTCAAATGCGGTGAGTCCGGGCTATCTGCAAAGCAGGTGGTCGCCTTGGGATTAGTCGGCTCGCTTAGCGGGTTGGATATCCAGGTTAATAAAAAAACAATTAAGGGGGTGTTTGGGACTGCTTATTTGAAACAACTTATGTTTTTCCTACAAAAGTCTTTGTCAACTTGTTACAAGTTAGAATGATTTAACTTCTTCAAAAACTCTTTGTTACCGGTGCTACACCGGGGTAAGTCAATAAATTGTTTTTATAAGCAATCTCAAACACCAACATATTGCTAAAGATTTCTCTTTCAACTTTTTTCTATTTTAGCATAACTGTTGGAGAAAAAAAAAACTTCAAGATCTCTACTTTATCATAGCTGTTGGAGATACTCTAATCTGCTGGACTATGCAGGTGAAATCAGACAGGCGTTATGCAGGGTCATCAAAGTGGACCATTAAGGTATGAAATACCATAACATCTAGCTTTTCAACTAACAGTTAGCTTATATATCAATATTTTATGTTTTGTAGGAAGTGGCTGAATCAGTAAAAGAGGACTTTGGGAGCATTGACATCCTTGTGCATTCAATAGCCAATGCACCTGAGGTATGCTTCATTGCTTCTGGTGTTATTATTTCTCATTGTTAGGAATGATAGTTATAACCTATTTTAGTATAAACCATAAAGGTGGTGTTTAATTGGTTTGAGTTTGGCTCCAAAGGTCAAAAGTATCAAGAAGTCACAAGTTCAAATCCAATGAGGAATAAAAATCCCCTTGTGGCCACGGAGGTTCAAATGCGGTGACTCCGAGCTATCTGCAAAGCAGATGGTCGCCCTGGTTTTAGTCGGATCGTATAGCGGGTTGGATATCCAGGTTAATAAAAAAAAAAACCTATTTTGGTACATATCATCCTCACCAAGTGCTCAATCTATGTAAATCCATAGCTTGTATTAAAATACTGATTAAGTATTTGGGTTACCGGTAGATCCAGATTCCAACCTTCTTGCAGGTCAAAGATTGTATGAGTTTTGCCGTATGTAAAATATTATATGTTTAAAAACAAATTGTACTTATCGAGCTTGGTATGCAGATTAGCAAACCGCTCCTAGAAACATCAAGATACGGGTATCTTGCCAGCGTCTCTTCGTCAAGCTATTCGTTTGTATCTTTGCTCAAGCATTTTGTCCCGTTGATGAATCCGGGTATGATTCTCATCTTAATGTTCATTTGGAAGCCGTAAATATTCTGAGAACTATGAAAACTAACTATTGAAGAATGATTCTGATGAATAATGAAAATGCATGCTATTCATAGTGAATAATATTCATGAATATGTAAGGTATACGAATTATTTGTTCTCAAAATTACGTTTCCTAAACGAACATTCATCATACGCAATATCCATCCATATAATCCTTTGGGTAAGTTCATCTAATAGTTGTAAATACATTGAGAACCGTGAAAACTAACTATTCAATAATGATTTATGAATATCATGAATAACGAAAATGCATGATATTCATAATGAATAAAATTCTTAATTTAGCCGTTTAGGTATATTCGCTATTAATAATTCATAAATAGTTGATTTTCAAAATATTTACGATTGCTAAATGAACTTTTCTCGTACAACTTCATTTACACTTAACACAATAAGGGGCCGTTTTACTAAACGTTTACCTAGTAGTTGTTTACTGAGTCATTTTATCCTATCGGATGAACATGACAATGATTGATAATCTTACCCGGTAAGAGTGATGACAACCGAGAGTCTTACCTATAAGTGAAAGTAACGATTCCTACCTGACAAACGATAAACAAAAAAATATTACATACAATGTCATTTTAATAGATTAAAATCTTACCCAAGAAGTAAAGATACTATTTGAATTGAGCTTGATTCTCATGTCGCAGGTGGTGCTACAATTTCTCTGACTGCCTTTGCTTCTGAAAGGGTCCTGCCTGGGTAAATTTTTAGAGTAAATTACAGTTTTAGTCCCTTCAGTTTGTTAAAAATGTCGATTTGGTTTGTAATTCATTATTATTTCCGTTACTGAGGTTAACTCCTGTCTTTAAGTATAAAGGGAAAAAAAACAACAATAAATTGTAAATCACAAGAACCGAAAACAACTGTATATTGTAAATAATAAAAACAAAAATAATAATAAACTATAAACCGTAGAGATGAAAATTGCAATTTCATATGTACAAGGACTAAAATAACAATTTACTACAAACCACAGGGACAAAAGAATGTAATTCATTATTTCTTTAATTTTTTGAGTAAACTACAAATTTAGTCCCTGTGATTTGCAAAACATTTGGATTTGGTCCCTTCTTCTAACGGCCGTTAAAAAATCCAATTAATTGAAAACCTTTTTCGTCCTTCTATCGATCTTGTTTCTTTTTCCTGATCAAAATCGATTTTATGATTTTGGTCTGTGTGTTAAAATCTGTTGATAAATGAACCCCAATTTGTTGACTGGGCGAACAACCCAACCCTTGGAACATATTACAGCTCGATCCATTCGTAAGTACATTCGATCTAATAAGTACCTTACATTTGATTGGATAAAGGGCAAAAATTGATAAAAACGGACGAAAATGCTCCTCACTTATTGGAAGTTTTTAACGGCCATTAGATCGAGACTAAATCTGAACGTTTTTACAAATCATGACAACCACCTTGTAATTTCAAAACTGTAGGGGACAAATAGTATTATTTTCAACACCAAATTTGTAGTTCACTCTTAATTTTTCGGCATTTGGAGCTTGTTAGATATGGTGGAGGTATGAGTTCAGCCAAGGCTGCTTTGGAGAATGACACAAGGGTGTTAGCATTTGAAGCTGGAAGAAGACATAGAATCAGAGTTAACACCATATCTGCAGGTATACAGCAGTACAGTAGAATCACATTTTCATTACGAACCAAAGAACCATTGAGGTTGTGCCACATGTCCATATTCATCATGAATAATGAACCTGAATCTTTTACAGTTTTTCATGATGAAATTTTGCTCTGGACATGTGGCATGCTTTCGGTAGTTCTGCAACTCACGATGGAAATGCGGTCATGAACAAAACGATGCCCCCTGATATTGATGATCATAGGACAAAACGTATCTGGTTTCACAAAGCTTAAATGGTAGAAATCGTGTTTGGTTATGATGCACTAACGCATCATAAGGATGTAATGTAACAGGACCACTAAGAAGTCGTGCTGCCAAGGCAATTGGTATTATTGATATGTTGCTTGATTATTCATTAATGAATGCACCGATGCAGAAAGAATTATTAGCAGGTCTGTCTGAATCTCCCTCCCTGTGTTTTATGTGATAATTATATCAACAACTAAAGGTGGACCTATTAAGTCTCAAGCAGGTCCCATTCACCAGCTCAACTTATTTGCATAAATAGAATTTTGTATGGTATAAAAGGTGCACCAGCAAAAGTTTAAAAATTGCTCTAAGATATTAAAAAATACAAGAAACATTAAACTGAAAAAGGTCGGGCGAAATCAACCAAACACCTGAGAAAAGTCTCTCCTAATCAAATCCAAAAACTTCAAAAAATTCGTCGAAACGGTGGGATTTGGCTAAAACACATTTGACAACTTTACAGGTCTTTGATCCACCTTAAAGGTGCACACGCACAACAAAAATCTTGGATTTGTCACTGATTTGAGCAACATTCGTGGATGCAATGTTGCTCCAGTTATTATATTAGAAACAAATTTTATTATATCGTTGATCCTACGTTTTTTTTTTAATTATATAATATTTATATACGGTAAATAGAGCAAATAAATTTACACACCCTACGTTTTTTGAACCCTTGACCTCGTAGGAGGCCAAAAACTCACATACCGTTGACCGTTGGTGAGGTTTGAACCATTGTTTACAGCTTAATGAACTTAATGAGCCTCGTAGCTTATTCAATCGTAGCTTAATGATCTTTCGGGGGAAGTTTTATGCAGAAAGCCAAGTTTTTTCCAAAGTTGTCCCTCCCAATGAAAAAAACACGTTCCTTCAATCAATGAAAGAACTCTCCCAAACAAAAACCTTCTCAATCTAAACATATAGATTATTCCATATAAAAACTTAATGGAAAACCAACCGAACATCCCTACATTGGTCCATGATGGTGACTTGGTAACCCAAGGGAGGGTTGGTGATTTATGCCGACTCAAACCACACTCTTATCCAATTAGTGATTATCCTATTTGTGTTGATAAACGACCCCTTATCCATCATATATGTGATCGGGAGTCCGTGACTGTGTGTGTGTGTGTGTGTTTTTCCTTATTATGTTGTATCAAAATCATGAAACAAACCATGTAAACAGAGGAGGTGGGAAACGCAGCTGCTTTTTTGGCTTCACCACTGGCTTCAGCCATCACGGGGACAGTCTTGTATGTAGACAATGGTCTGAATGCAATGGGAGTTGGAGTTGATAGCCCTGCTTTTAAGGATCTAACCATCCCAACACAAGACAACAAAAGTTAGGAGCTTCATTTATTTTCAAATAAAAACTGTAATTGCCTTGTTCGAACAGCTTTTGTTTGGGAGCCTCGACTCGACTCTCGAGACCAAAAATAAACCGTACGGTCAGCATTGTGAGCCTGTATGGTGTAGCAAGGATGAAAGCTATCAACTTTTTTCTACAAACCTGTTTGTATCCATTGACGTATATTAATATTATAAACTGATGAAAATACGATGATCCTTTATTCGATTCGTTTGATATCCGGCATGAAAAATAGCACCTACAGGTACCCATTTGGCCTTTATTGAACAGTAAAGGGAGTTTGTTCACGGGCGGAACAAAGTCTATTCCAGCTGTGAGGCTCACTAGGCTTGGACTACTGTTCTCGAAGAAATGGGCGGGCCAGACTGACATGTGAAAATTAGTGGGGGCGGGTAAGGGCAAGTTTCCAAGCTGTAAAAAGGGCTTGAGTTTACTATTTAGGCCAGGCCCAGCCCAAGCTCGCAAACGATAGGCTGTTGAGAGAGGCAAGAGGCGTGTGTTTTACCCCCTAGTGTCTTTTTTTGGACTTAATGTCAACAAGGGCTATTTTTTATCTGTGCGAATAAGCCCCAAGTAAACACACTATTTTGGCTGTGCGAATAAGCCCATTTATTGATTAAGCTCATTAAGTCCTGAGTAAACACACCCGTAGCCATATATCTCCCTAGAAAGCAGGATATAAAAGGTGGAAGGATGTGTTGTTTCTTACATGAACTCATTAGTGATGGCATGCATCCCATTCTCTATTTCATATAAATATTCAGAATGTTGCATCATCATCTTCAAAACAAAGGATTACAACTTATATCAAAGGAAACATTAGAGCCAAAAAACCCTGTTTCTAAATACTCGGATACAAAGTTGGTACATTTTCCAAATAAAATGGATGGATAGCAAGCGGATCAAATGAAAATCCTCCCGGCGGATTGATTTTGTTTCCAGAACAACAGGGAGAGACTTACCTCACTTCTTCCCACCACCGGAGACGTTAAATTTGAAAAATATTATATCACCATCTTGGACCACGTAAGTCTTTCCCTCCTGCTTGTACTTGCCAGCAGCCTGCACATACAAAATCCAACATTTTCATGGACGCCATCAAGAGAAACATGACCCGAGAAGTATAACTTAGTTCTTGAAATAGAGGCGGTAGTCACATGTAGAGTTTTTCTGACATTGGTGAATGTTTAACCTCTTGTACACGATCAAAAATGCTTCTTATCGTTAGTTCTATCATCTAATACATATTTGTTCAAAATAAACCAAACTAGAGGTATTCGTTTGAGGGATTGGGCTGAGCACCGACTAGGTAACTTATTTTTTGTCCAACGGGCCTAATATAGCAAACCCAAGCCAATTCTTGCAGGCTTGATAACTTTCACCGTATGCGCCCTACAAAAGGACTGGGTTTTCCCACAGGTTAACAGCTCTAAAAACCTTTTACATTTAAAATTGAGATTCAGAGACTTACTATGACAAAGAATATATGGTATATATTTGGGAGGTGACTGGTAAGCCAGTCAAGTGGGCTTCTAAAGTTTTTATAACAAAAAAAAGTAATACAGTTTAGTTATATATAAAATTTAATTAGTTATAAAAAAATAAACACACATGGTGACGGGTGTGCCTGTCCAAAAGAAAAGTTCATCGCTTGGACCCGCAGAATTTTGCAAGAGTGGTTGTCCAAGCCTGCTTTACTAACGGGCAGGTCTAGTGGGTTGTACTTTCTGTGAACAGCTCTAAACCAAACGTATATCCCACCAAGAGGTAGGTCATACCAACCCCTAGGGATGGAGAGGTGGTTCCCGTGAATGCTCACCGACTTATAGAACATATGTGTTCAAAATGTACATTGTAAATACATGATTACACATGTCACAATGTACAACTTGTAAATGACCATACTTCCTGCATAATTTCTCTTCTATTATCAAACAACTGCCACGTGAGACACATGAAAACGAATATATTTTATCGCATATAGAGAATACCTTTACAGCAGGCTCACTTCCGAGCTCTTTAAGATCCTCAAACTTCATTACCTGTAACATATCAAGTGAGTTCTCATATCTTCAAGGTTGATACTTGAAAGATACAGGAATATAACTTAGGTATAAGAAAGCAGGTCATCACATCATTTGTCTGTGTACATTATCTAATATATATTTAACCTCCCATTTATCGATTATTGACTTGTTAATTGACAATTTCCTGTAAAAAGAAATACCAATACAAGATTTCCTACTACTTGAGAATTTTCTGGGTGATGCCTCAAAATCAAGAATGCAGAAACACAATTCAAGCATATAAAAGAACAGTTGCAACCATTAATGGAAAACATGTTATAAAATATCAGAATCTGACTTCATTTTCTAAAAAATTATGAGATTGAAGGTAACCTCAGCACATATAAATCCTCTTTCGAAATCAGTATGAATTGCTCCTGCAGCTTGAGGAGCCTTGGTCTGCCTTCGAATTTGCCAGCATTTCACCTACACGAAAACCGGGAACATCAACTTTAGATTAGATACATGTTGCAGGAATCAAACTTTAGCAAGACGTTAAACATAAACCTACAGGGACCGACTAACTTCCACAAGGAACATTATGACGAAAGTAAGAGAAATGTAACTGGTGTTTCCTAGTTTTATGGTAAACCACTTGTGTATCTGGGCTATGTTTGGCAAAGTAGCTGATAAGCTACCTGATGAACAAATCATGTTTGGCAAAAACTAGATGATAAACATGTAAAATGACCAAAAAGGGCGTCTTGAAAAATTAGTCAATCACAATATTTTATAATATAATTAAAACAAGTATTTAATAATATAATATATTAATACAAACAAGATAGTAAAGAAAAATTAAAATAATATAATATATTAATTAAAAGAATTTTAAATTGATTATTATATATATTATAAATTTTGGATTTGTTAAAACAAATTTTACCAAAAAAATCTATACTAATGTATGATTTTAAATAACCATTACATATAATATGAATAAAAATAAAATTGGTCAAAATCCCATATCCTAATTAACTAGTTATTTTCAAAAACTATAATTAATAATTAAATTAAATATTTATTAAAATCATTTAACACAATTTTATTATCTATGAAACAAAATAAGTATAACTTTAATTTTAATGTAAATTACATAAACATAATTAGAATTGTTATATTTTATTTTTGATACCTAAATATATTGCATAATAGTTATAAAATAATATAAAAATAAATGATATGATTGATAATAATTCTAAATAATTAATATTAATGTATAATTAAAATTAATTCATAATTTTATTTTCAACTAACATTAATTACTATTAATTAATATTTATTAATATCAGTGATGATGATTTTTTTTTTATCAATAATTAATTTTTATTCATAATTAATAGTAATAAATAAAAATTAATATTAATGAGGGTTATAATTGGAAAAGTGTCAAAAAGCTGCTCATAAGCTATTCCAACTGGTGTTTCAATAAGCTAGCTTATAAAACGTGTATAAAAAAAATAAGCTAGCTTATGTTTGCCAAGCAATGCCTTAAGAAATGCATGGAAATTGAAAAGAAAGAATATAGTAGAACTGCAAGAAGCCCTGCTAAATAATCTGTTTGTTGTCAACAGAAACTGAATTGTATGAAACACCATCAGTTGTTTTCCGCTTATTAGAGAAGGCAAAGGACAAAAAGACATCACCTCGTCAGGGCCAGCAGTGAAAAAATATATAAGGTTGATAGCAGAGAATCCAGTCTTTATAATCTTTGGAAGAGCACTGTGTCACAAAAAAGAATCGAGTTACATCTGTTTTTGTCAATTGAAGATCTTCATATATTCACAGTATTTCACCATTGGAAATATTAGAACTGAGGACAGTAGCATTAAATGATGGTTATATACAAAGGTTCAAGCAGGATCAAAACTCAAAACATGTACGCATATGAAATCCGAAAAATACCTATAATAAGATATTGCAATAAAATCACAAATACCCAACAAGTAAGCAAAATACTGTTTGTAAAGCTGGTAAAATGCATGATTGAATTATCCGATGTTCAACAAAACCCGCTCTGAACTGACCTTTGTGTCTTGTTCTCCTCGCAGTATTTAGCTACCTCATCTTCTGGCAGATCAGCAAGATTTCTTTCCAACGCACAGCTGAAAGGAATAATTGGCTCACCCCCATGCTCTTGCACCCTACAAAAAGTAGTATGTTGAAACTTATAGTGTAGATTTTCAGATCAAGAAAAGATATGTTATAAGCATTGTAGAAACTCTATGAAATGCTTGGCTATCAATCAAAAGTTTAATCACCAACAATTTCAATAATTTGAACTAGAAATTGACCATCATTTAAATACAAAATGGCATGTAATTTATAACAAGCACAAATGCTGAATTCATTTTGAAAATAAAAGAAAATAGTATTTAAGTATTCCCTCTACAAACCTTGAATATTGTTATGAAAACTGAATTTTTTTAATCCACCCTCACCCCCTTTTACCCCTGAAACCCATTCATATAAGACAGGAGCATTTACGGACTTGGTAATTTTAATCTTCCTAAACCTGATAGTTCTAAAATGAAATCAAAAGAAATGTTAGTAAAGCCCCCCTCCCCCCCCCCCTTCTGACCAAAAGTTCCTTCATATAACATAAATGAGTATTTACAAGCTTCTTCATATAACTCTATGCCTCTGCACCTTCTTCAATTTCTACTGATTGCAAAGAAGATCTTGGAAGTAGACTAAACTGAATGGGTCTTCCTCACAAGAAAGCTGTATTAATTATAGGATGCACCATTTGCAGCATGAAAGTTCTCACCTCAGATATGGGGGTGCGTATAAGTGAGTGTGGACATATTTTTAAATCCTTGATTTGTTGCATGGTATGTTCTAGAAAACTCCTTAAAGTACAATGAGAAAATCCAATCTGTATTTATAATTGTAGAACAGTAAAATCCAGTTTCTAATATGCTTTTAAAATGAATGCAAGTGAATTCCAGTGTCCATATTCTAAATGTCTTCCTAACGAATATCCCTCATAAAAATGTAACAAGTAAATTAAACATACCAAGCATGAATCTTGGGTAGAAACTTGTTCTTTTTTCTCTGATAGTCTTTCTCGTTCATATTGACCTGCACAAGAAAGTATCACTTATTTAAAGCCAAACAAACAGAACTCACCAGTTTCAAGAAATATTAAAGGGTAAAGCAAGTAACTGGGACACCTATAATCTGCATAACAATTAATTCGTGGACCAAGGCATTCAAGGAATACTTTGTTCAAATAATACACATTGCCAAAACACATGGATTTACCAGATAAACAACCGGTTTTGCAGTGAGCAATTGGAAAGTGTTCAAAATTTCAATATCTGCTGCTTTCCAGTCCCCCAACCGGATATCTTTTTCACTCTCGAGCCAGGCTTTGACCTGTAGAAAACCAAGCACAGTTATTGTCCATACACTTGCCTTAGAAAACGTACAAATAGAAAAAAGAAAAATCAGAAGTACTTCGATTAAGAAAGATACAATGTTTGTCAAGCCATAAAATTCTTTTGGGATGGAAGTTTGCCATTCAAACACAAACAACAGTCCAATATTAGCAGAAACTTGTAAGCAATTGCAGCATAAGAGAGGTGATGTTATAGCCCCTTTGCTCGGAGAGGAAGGGAATCTTTGTGAGGAGAGGGGCTACCACAACAAAAGTTATCCCCTTGCAGGCACTAGCAATGAGTTTTGACCTTTTCTCTTCTATAATTCACATATAATGTAGCAAGCATATATTTCCAACAGCCTAAATGACGAGATTGTGTGACCTTACAAACATTCGCACAGAAAATGTATCTCATATTTATATAAGCAATGTATCTTAATAAACTAGCTTGGTTGGATGTGAGTAAACCCATCTCACAACTTTTGCAACGCATATGCTTTGACTCAACAAGGTACCTGAAGTTAATGAGAATTCATTGATTCCAACTTACAGAATTGTACAAGATGATATTATCCAAGAGACAAGTGGAAATTGTTGTGGAAAGAGAACCATATTTTACAAGGGCGGTAGACGGTAGTAATTTTTTAAGAATGGCAAGACTTTTTAGTCACTACTATGGTAATCCTTACATCGACAATATTGTTAATTACGGCAAGCCAAAAGTTCCTTGGATCCACCATCATGTCCCCATATTTCTTATATCCTGTGTACTTACTTTTATTGATGTGCATGTACATCTAAGAATAAAAACAATTGTCACAATAAAAGGAACTTAGCAACAACCTAAAAGGCATGCACAAGGTCACCACATAAAGTACAATCCAATGAATGATACCAATATAACAATAGGTTAATGAAGTTCAAAAATTACTGAAAATGACAAAAAAAAACATAAATAGCTCAAAAGTGCAACCTAGTGCAGCTCTATAATTTAGGGTTTAATTGTAATTTCTATAGCTAGATTTGAAAATTCAATATATTTAAGTAGCATCAAATCAGTGTCCAGGAGATATTATCAGAACTACCTCTGCTTACTTCTGCACCCTATAAATATTGAAAAGGGAGTATGGTTTCTCCTGGCCAACAAAATGGAAAAAGAACAACAATAGAAAAAACCAGTCCGTAATCCGAACTGAGGAAAACTTGAAGCCCGTATAGAGGAACAGCATAGTTCCAGAATCACCACTGACCAGAGTTTATCTTCTTCTACTAGTTCACTTTTAAGATTTGCTTTGGGATCAAGAAAACCTGTCCTTGGAGAAGAAAGATTTCTCTGGTGCTAATGATGGAATAAATTCTTTCTTATTATATCTGTAATTGGCAGCAAGTGTAGGTAAACGTGTTGCAACATTACCCGAACATATATCCAAATTTCCAGAATTTACCCATATTTCAAATGATATACGCATAATAAATGTATTTGAAATAATATATTATGAAAAAACAATATATGCATGGCTGGAGCCGACATGCTGTTACTCAACCATCTAGAATGTACCCACATTTCTTAGATTGCAATGCTTGTGCAAATTCCTTATGTTATATATATATACACACACACACACACATATAGGGGTGGTTTATTATGCAACCTACCAATGCAACCTCATCCTATCCCTTCATTATTTCATCTGCAGTTAAGATTTTATGTATGCAGAAGTAATTAATAATAAATATTCTAAAATTTAATTTTAAAAAATGAGAGGCATTCAGGTGTATTTAGGGGGAAAATACATTCAAACCTGGTTTAATAGACGATGAAGACGATGAATATTGTGAAACCAAAGACTCCTCACGTGTTTTCAGCTACAGGAGCACTGCCATTTAAACCTGGTTCATTTGTGTTTGTAGTATTCATGAACCTACTGTTGTATATTTCATGAACCTATAGAAATAAGTGTTGTATGATTCATGAAGCAAAGGGGATATGAAAAGGTCTTAGACTGAGTATATGGGTCCTACGGTGAACAACTGTTTCATAGACCAATGTGATGACCTTTATATATGTTTCTCCAGGGTAATGAACTCTATTTCATAGGTATGTCCACTGTTTCAGAATTCATTAATGAATTCCATTTCATTGGTGTAACCACTATTACATATCTGGGCCAATGAACTCTTTCATAATAAATGCGATTGAATGAACTCTAAAAATCACGACTATGGAAGACTCATATGGAAGAATGCAATGAGTGGAAGAAACATACTAGGAGAGAAACATACAATTTAAAAGTTACAATCCAATATTAAAATAAAATAAAATGTAATCCGTTAAAATTTCTTGCTTAATTTAAATAATAAAAAATGTAGCAAGTATTTAAAAGCGTGACTGGCCGAAACTACCCTGGAAACAAAAGAGAAGGGAAAAAAGGACAGCCCAGATGAGGTTGCATTGGTTGTACAAATGTAATAGGTTGCATTTTGAAACGTCCTCTCCATCTATCTATCTATCTATCTATCTCTCTCTCTCTCTCTCTCTCTCTCTCTCTATATATATATATATATATTGCTGAAAACCTTTGTGAATAGTACAAAAGGTGTTAAAGCAGGTTAAGCATCCTTTCTATATGAGAAGTTGAAATGAAATGAAAGTGAATACCAAAAACAAGGTCAGTTTGTGACACCCGATTCAGAACAGATCACCATTTGACAATATACAACTGTGCCTGGTACTACTACTGTGCTACCAATGATCTTTTATACAAATCTCTGTAACGCAACCTTGTGAAGTTCTCATATCAGGTAAACCAAAAAGGCAAGAGCAATAGAACTAATTGTGTGATTGAGAACATCAAGAAAACTATATATGACTTGACAAGAATTATATCGGGCACAATAATAAAACAATTTTCGTCTAGAGATCAGCACAGCAGATGCACATGAACTGCAAAGGGAACAATATTTTAATAAGAGAATTTAGCAATTAGCATTAATGAATATATGAAGTTACCTTCACACACAATTCAAGTTCTACTTTCAACTGTTTGTCATTGCTCCTCTTCATGCTCTTTTCAAGATCTTCAATCTTTCTTTCCATGAATTCAATATCCTTTACCACAGAACAACCAATATTAAGCATCCATATCCCACAATAAAAAAAGCGCTGAAGCACAGTTCTCTAACTAGGTATCAGATGTAGATAAAACATAGAGAAACTGAAAGACAATACATTATCTTTGTGTTAAAAGAGAAGAAAAATAGATCAACTGTGAGGACCAAGTGTGTGAACCAATAACTTGTGGTAGTACTACTCTTAAAGTTCCTTCAGTTTATAACTGTTGTAGAACAATAACACTTGTGAATTACGTTCTACACACTAGTGCTAATTTCACCTTCTCACATATTTCGCAACAGAGATATTTCTTTTCTAATCATTAACTACTTGCAGAATATTTTTACATGCTCAAATTTACTAAATCCATGTAGCACTATAGCTTCCAGACATTATGATCGGTAGTTAAAAAACTGGTTCAAAATGGCATTAGTCAATTACAGGTAAGAAAACTTAGATCCCTATGCATCACTAAAACACACGGCCTGCTTCCACTTAATTATTATAATCATTCCAGTACACACAGTATTTATATACACTCTACCGATTGCACTTGCTACACATGTTAACTTCGTACCGTCGCAATTTATCATCAAATCCCATAGATATATATATGAACTCACCTACAAAGCCATAACAACTTTGAATGTTCAACTACATTCTATCTGCTGGGAAGAAGACAAAGAATAGGTAGAAAAGAGGGTAGTATAAGAGACTTGGGATAGTTCTAATCATCTGATGCAAGATGAAAAAAGAAGGGCGATAGATAGGGGAAGAGAATGGAAATGTGAGAAACACCTTGGTTCCAATGTGTAGTTCCATGTGGTACATCTTTGGGGCATTGATGTGAATAGTTAACAACACGTATCACACATGAAGCACATTCCACCACCGACAATGATCAATACCCATACTATCGATTTGCCATAAGAAAATTAAGTCCAGATATACTGCAACTAGGAAACCTAATCCTTCCCAAATCTACTACTACCACTAAAATGATTAAATAAAAGAAAGGGTATACATCATTTGAAGAGCGACAACATCCACTCCTCAGAGAACAATAAATACTTGCCTAATCAAACTACGTCGATCACCTGCACCAAAAATATTTGAGCTCAGGTCTAAACTATACTTTTCAAATATACTATCTGTTAAAACATACATTCCTAATGTAACCTTCTGTAATTTCCCACAATGCCCTTTCTGTCATCCCCATCATTATCTCACCAGGTATTTTGTAGTGCATACATTTAAAGACAGGGTGCCAACCGAATGACTGCCAAGAAGCTCACTCCACTTGGTCCATACTTGACGATAATAAAACTTACTGGATTGTCGTAGTATAGAGCTTTTACATGTTAGGAGTATCAAAAATCCATAAAAAAAACGATGTGTAACAAGAGAGTGTTGAGGCATCAATCAACGTCAACGCCATGGCAGTTAAATGCAGTGGTAGCAGCCATGCTACTATCACTATATCACATAAATCAGAAGTTCATAAAGATTTTAGGGGAATTAAGGCATCACCACTCATGTGTTGTGTACAGATATGCATGGAAAAAATAAAGTGAAAGCAAATGGGCAAACATGTATGCATAAATTTTCACCCGAGTCATCAAGATAGATAGCAATACAAGGTAAAAAAAAGTTGAACAGAGAATTGAACATCATAATACATTTTGAACATCTAATAACAATTCACGTGCCTACACCATAAACAAGATCTACTCCTTACATTAAGATATAAATTACTCAAATTAGATACAGGAGAAATCTTATTAAATGTTAGACTTGCACCATTTTCCCTATGTAATATGGTTTCAACAACTATAGAGTCCTAACCCATTGTAAGCAAGACAAATATGAAATCCACCTATTTTCCCACCTTCACCTTGAATAATCATCTTCCATGAACGGCATGAACTATGATTAAAACATGAATTATTCCATAAGAGTCCAATACCGCTTAAATGTATTGAAGTACAGTAAAAGATGTCATCATTGATCATTATGCAATTGTCAGCTAGTAAATGCTACAAACAGCTGATGCCCTAGGTGTTATTAAAAGGAAGATAGTTAATCTTGTACTACTCGTCAATCAAGAAATGCACAAAACAAAGGCACTCTACGTATCACATAACAGAAAGATAGAGATGTGACCACTCAAGGATTTTAGAACACACCTTCAGCCGTAATTCTGCAGTTATCACTTCTAAATCTCTTACAGGATCCACAGAGTCATCAACATGTATAATATCTGGGTCTTCAAATGCACCTATTATATAAAAATATACAACAAGAAACGTACTCACACCTCAAAAACAAATAAACAAAAGCACAACACGAAAAGAAAATAAGTAGCAAAAAAATATGACATGTAATGTCTTGAATTTCGGTTCCCTCTCCCAGAAACTTTTTTGTAAGCTAAAAATAAACACGTATTGTAAGATTTACAGAAAATCCATATGACCTGAAAATTGGTTTAAAAGGACTACAAAATGCAATCTTACGTAACACATGGAATATGCCATCAACAGCACGAATGTGAGATAAGAAATTGTTTCCAAGCCCTTGTCCTTCATGAGCGCCTTTAACCAACCCAGCAATGTCATGTATCTCTAAGAATGCAGAGACCTGTCCAGCAAAGCAAGAGTAAATAAATGCGCCAAAACAATTTAGTGTGGAGATGAAGAGCACATCATCAAATAAATAAATTCTTTTGGCATTCAAATGGGCAATTTGGCAACTCCATGATGTTGATGCTTTGACATGGAATAGTACATAACTCAATATTCAGACAAGGCAAGCACACTAAATTACACATGACTTTGTATAGAAGCAGAGCATATATATTACCTCACTCTTTGGCTTGAATAGTTGACAAAGCCACTCAAATCGCTCATCAGGAATATTGACACGTGCCTCATTAGGTTCAATGGTACAAAATGGGAAGTTCTCAGCAGGAATTGACAACTTAGTGAGAGTGTTGAAGAGAGTAGATTTCCCAACATTAGGCAATCCAACCTGAAATCAGTAGTAAACAACAGCATGAGTCCATATCCTAATGACAGTAGAGGTGCAGTGTAACCCTTTTCGACAGAAGCTGGCCCGTTTAAACTAGACACTTGTCCATCAATCAATTGATTTAGGCAATGTAATTCCTTATTAATTCAATAATATCAAAAACAGTTTACATCGTAAAAATCCCAGATCCTAGTACAATGGTCGAACTGAGGCAAGTAAACCACAATTCGAGAATCCAACACATAAACCCCAAGCTGTGATCTTCTTTACTAGTAACAATATCGTCTATGCTTCCTATTTACGATACTAATGAAACCAATAGCTAAAGCCGGAAGTTTATGATCTCAAATGATAATCCCAGACATCTACTTTTCTATAAAAATGGGAACAAAGTCATATTGATTTGTACTATATCAGATTAAAAAGTGTAAAACAAGATACAAGAATCAAATAATCATCGTGATTCATGCCAGATAAAAAGTTGTAAGGAACTAACAATCCCAATCTTCAGATGCGATGAGAATCGACCAAGAATGGGCCTTTCTACGGGTGCTTCCTTCGATTTCGCAGCCTTTGGCGGCATGGCTCCTTTTACAAACAGAATCGATAGAAGCACTGGAGCAGGAGCGAGACTGCGTTCAAAGATTTATTTAGGGTTTATAAAACGAGTCGACATTTGCATCCGACCCTATAAATATGAATGGGCATGATATACGAGGAGGGGGGGGATCTATTTTCTTAACTTTAGATTAGAATAAATTACATTTCTAGTCCGTGTGGTTTGTTTGAGACTAGTCTTGAATTAGTTTATTACACCATCTGTATAAGTATCTATGTTATTTTATAAAGTATTTGATAAAAACTTTTAAAAATCAGTTTTATGTATAACATATTGTTTATTTATGTATGTTATTTAAAATTCAGGATCACAAGTAAATTATTCGTAAGTATAACTTATTAAAACTTTATTTTTGAATTTGTATAATTAACTATATATAAACATAATCAAATATGGGATAGACATTTAATTTTAAATATAAAAAATCTAAAATATAATTATGATAATCATTAGTTATAACAAAATATTGAATTATTATCTTTATAAAAATTATACTATTAAATGATAAATAATAAATTTGATACTAATATCGATATTATTTTTTTCAAAATTTTTTGATATATTAAAAATTTTATTTTGTTCAAGAATAAAAAAATATTATCGTTTTCTCAAAACCGCTAAAAACGTAATATATCTACATAGATAAATAATAAAACGAAACATTAAAATTGAGATATATCTCGTTATATTATGCGAGCACCCTTCTAGTTATGTAAAAACGTATCTCCCGAGTTGCTTCTTCCAACGTAATCAAAAAGTTATTGTTATATCGGTTAAGTTAGGGGCATTTTTGTCTTTTAACATTTTCAGTCTTTTCCTACTAGGACCAAAAAATGTAATAATCTCTAGTATATATTATCAATTTTCTTTATTTATTAGTATTAATTATGGTTATATATACGTATATTAAATGCAAACACAGCACCCCACGTCCCTACGCAATCCCACCCCTCTCCCTCCACATTCCTTGTGTCACGAAGATGTACCTCTATCGCTACGACCCCTAATGACTACAGTCTATCTCTCATGCACAAAATACATTTGTACAGTATACACTTGCAGTCACAAAGACGGTTGAATGAAGTCCCTAACCCGTCTGTTAACTGTTTTATTTTTGTCACGAGCCTCTACCTTCATTTTCATCATCGACCTCTGCCTCCATTTTCGTTAGTTAGCGCTTTCCCCTCCCTTTTCGTTGTTTATGTTGTGAGCTTACAGGAGATGGATGTCGATGAAAGGGGGTCCTCTAGATGGGTTTCGGGTTTCATGGTGGGGTGGGTTTATAAGGAGAGGTGGAGGAGATGGCAAGTTACGAGGGGGTGAAGAAGAGTATGGGTTTGTGTAGGTGTATGAGAACGGAGATGGACGTGGAGTTCGACATTTGGTGGTGGCAGTGGGTTACAAGGGCGGACTTGCTCTATTGGATGCAGTGGCAAGGGCCACCACTTCATTCCTCCGTCATAGCGTAAATAATTATAAAGTCGTAAAAGGTGCCACTGTATCATTTTGTTTTGTGCAACAATATATATTTTGAAACTACAGTGGTGCTATAAGTTTCCCTTTGTAGAGTTGGTTTGCATGGCTTTTCTCCCACCAAGACCTGGATTCAAATCTTGTTTGTATCATTTTCCTTAGTTTTTAGCTTTTTTATTTCAGATTTATTATATTTTTGAAAAAAAATTGCAATAAAAGACTATGGACATAAGACCTTACACATGAAAAGTAAAGAACTAACCAATAAACCAATGATGATTTTATGAAAAATAAACACCCATGTCTCTGTTTCTTATAATGAAATAATCTCACCACTCGAAAGTGTGTTTTTGCATGCCATAGGTACCGATAATGTGATACATGTGTTCGAGAGACCTTAGTAATAACAACCAAAAAACCACATGGACCAATAATGTAATTTACTGGATTATATATATACACTAATATTATAATTATATACATTACCTTATTTTTTTTTCATAAATAAAATGTAATTAGTTAATATATAACCATATATATCTATACTACCTTATAAACCAGATTTATCAAAATTCTTAAAAACAATTTTTAATGCACAAAGTATCATACATTTATGCACAAAGTCTTAAAAGTCTTAAAAACTTATAATGCATTAAGTACTATTACTTTATGCATTCAGTCTTAAAATCTATTAATCTACAATTAAAATAGCATATAGTACAAGTTACCAATGCACATTATTACTTCTTTTTTTCATGTTCTCAAGATACTTTTAACACATTTTACTCATGTCTTCACCCCCTCATACCTCTATATCTTCTCCCCATTCCCCAAGGTTATATTCAAATTGATATTCACCATGAGTTAATAAAAGTTCTCACATTCATCTCTCATTCAATTGCTCTAGAACTCTCGGTCTAGCTCTCGATCTCTTGATTCTTTGCTCTTGGTGTAAATGGAACACATTTGTGGAGTCGTTTAAATATGTTGGATTTTAAATTGTCATACAATTTTTTTCAACGATATACTATAATTGGAACCATAACTCTTATTTATTCAAATTGTATTAATATGTATAGAGCAAGTGTAACTTATATCGTCGTTAAATATTCTCTAATAAAACCAGTGAAACTTCAAAATCGTTAAACTTCACGGCTCCCGCAGCATTGCACGGATTCAAAACTAGTTATCATAAAAGAGAAAACTATATAAAAACTCAATGAACCTTTCCATTTAAATGATTAAGTCGTTTATTTTTTTGTCCGAATGAATAAATCATTGAAATTTCTCAATTTGAATGATTAAGTCATTGAATATTTGTTTAAATAAGTAAACCATCGAACTTATAGAAATTGGTTACTCATGAAAGTTTTAAAATGAAATTTCTAATTTAGTTATATCATTCCCAAACCCTACGTCATTGAAAGCCCTCTCTTCCAACAACATCGTTTCCCCTTGCCGCCCCCATAGTCATCCGTTCTCCATATAACTCGTCGTCGTCGTTGGCCCCCGTCATCGATCTCTCTCTCTTTTATCTGTTTTTCATTTGTCTATTGATTCTCCCTATTTTACAACAATTTGATAGAATACGTATAACCAGATAAAAAAAGAGAATAAAACAAAAACGATCAAAAAGAGGGATCAATAATTAGAACCAACGGCGGTGATGGAAAGCAAACGAAGACGGGGGCCACAATGGTGAGCGATGGCGTTGGGTTTGAGGGGGTTGAATAACATATGATTTGGGAATAGTGAAAGTGTATGTTTTTTTTAACTTTCATAATCAGTTACATGTACTATTTTTGAGTTAAGTATAGGCATTGCAGAATTATCATCAATAATAAAATAAAGAAATTATCATAGCATCGGTTGAGTTGCGGTGAGAAGGGAAGTTATGGTGAGAAGCATAAAAAGAGATCTGAACTATTAATCACTTTTAATCTCATTCCCATCGATGAATTGCGTTTTAGAAGATAATTGATCCAATGCATCTGAGTGCACCTCAGTAGTGCTGACATACAATTAGGATTGATCAAATTGTGAACATCTCTCATTACACTTCTAACTATAACTTCCCTAGTGGAAACATCAGTAAACCAATATATTACTGTTCACTGTTAATTTTATATACATGAACACACAAGGTCGTAATTTTATATACATCTAGATGTACATAATTAATGTTCACTCAGTTCAGTTTTAGAAAGGAATGATAATCTAAATTTCAGTTATGACCAATATACATCTAGAGGGCCTATGTAATATTTCATATCAACACAGTAGGTGTTCTCCACCATACATATCAATATAGAGCTCTCAATACAATTTACCCGGTAAAAGCGAGGCAAAGACCAAGAGTCTTACCCGGTAACTGAGGATGACGACTCTTACCACGGGTAAGCACTTACCGGGTAAATTGTTGCATACGATGTCGTTTTGATGGACTAAAATATTACACGATAAGTAAATAAAAATGTTAAATTTTACCGGCAAACATTTACCGGGTAAGTGTTTGGTAAACGGCCCCTTAGACTATTAGGCAAGGTTTTATCGATGCAATCTACTAATCATTTTTGGTATTTAACTTGTTTTCATTTCTTCAATCGTCAGTACGACCTGTTGAATTTTAAAAACATGTATATATACATCTCATCTCTTAACTCTACTTTTAAATAAAATATACATGACTCGTATTCCCAATTCAATTAAATCATTTGAACTAATTACAGTTTCAGTCAGTAACTAAAGACTTCCGCTACATATATCTGTACTTTACTTGATTTAGGTAGTGTTTGTTTTTTAAAAGTTGTTGAAGTCCGAAGTCTGATTTCACTTCTGATTTATAAGAGGTGGTCCTGAAGTCTGAAATCCGGATCGGTAAGACTGTTTATTTTTACGTATGAATCCTGAAATCGGAATCCGTCAAACTAGTTGAAAAATATAAAATACAAATAGTTTTTTTACAAAAAAATAAAAAATAAATAGTTTTTGCTAACAAATATCTCCCAACCTTCAAAATATGAACCATTTGATAAAGGGAAAATTAGGATTAAGAGGTATTAAGCGACACGTTTACCACTTAAAATTTCAGATAACATTTAGAGTTTTTAAGCTCTTATTTTAAAAATAAAACAAACGTTCTTAATATCTAAACGTCTGAACGAATCAAACTTCAGGGGTATTAAGAGGTAATTTTGAAAAAACAAACATGCTCTCATACTTTTAAAATAAATCATTTAACGTCACAATCCTATTTTTTTTTTAATGATTTTGATATATCAAAGTATCAATTTACAAAAAATAGTACACGTTTATATTTTTAAGGAGTCATCATTGTTTTCAGATCTTAGTGACGCGCACATTCTTGGCACACCAGTGCGAGAGTGACTTCACAGTCACGTGACCACATTGTTGCCGTTATCATCAGGTATTGATCCTCGCCATCCATTTTTTAGTGATCATGATCGTTTTGTTTATCTAAAAATTATGTAACCAATGGACCGTTTACTAAACGATTACTCTGTAAGTATTTATCATATAATTTTCCTCACCGGATGAATATGACAAGGGCCAAGAATCTTACTCGATAAGAGCGATGATAAGGATAGAGAGTCTTACCCGGTAAGTGAGGATGACGACTCTTACTCGTGTAAGCGCTTTCCAGGTAAATTGTTGCATATGATATGTTTTGATGTATTATAATCTTACCCAATAAGAATAAGTTATAGTGTTGACTCCTAATGTTAAGCACTTACCGGATAAGCATTTAGGTAAACGACCCCTAAATTAAGATGAAACGTAATTCGTTGATTTACTTTTAAGGATCGGTCAAAATGAACTAACTCCATGAGTTTAGAGGATCAATCAAAATGAGTGAATACCATGAGTTTGGAGGATTGATTAAAAGGAGCAAACCTCATGAGTTGTCACAAAGGCATTTCAACCTTTTTTTATAAACATATCATTCATTATCAATCTTTCATCTCTCCATCAATGTGGGATAAGCAAAGCTCGACCACAATTCAAGAATTGAAGATTACTGAATTATTCGGGTGCAACATCAATGGTGTGGTTTTTTACTTTTATATTTAAATTTGTTTTTTAACTTTGTGTTTTGCAATATATTTACACTATATGTTTTGCACTATAATTTTATCATTTGGTTGGTTTTGATCCAACCATGGTTGTAGATTTCAAAGCATCCATCACTCTTTATGTAACATTCATCTTCTTCTAAAGTATCATCTTTCAATCAATGTGATGATCGATATTTTGTAGAATGAATATTTTGATTTTAACTGTGTTTTGCATGATATTTTAGTTGTGTTTCGCACTATAATTTTACTAATTGGTTGGTTTTGATTTTAACCACGGTTATAAATTTCAAATCATTCATCACACTTTTATACATCTATCATCTTCTTCCACACTATCATCTCCACCAATATGAGATGATGAAAGTCAACCTTATTTCCAAACCTTATGTTGCTAAGTCATCATCCTTGGTTTCATTTTTAATTTTGCACTCTAACTTTTACCATTTGGTTGGTTTTAATTCCAACCATGGGTATAAATTTTAAAGAGAGTCATTCAAAACAAGACAACCTTATGAGACAAACCCCATAAATTGACACAAAAACATTTAATTCACCTTTCTTATACATTTCACTTTGTTCAAAACTTTCAACTTTTCATCAATGTGGGACAACTAAAACTCAACCATAATTCAACTGACAATAACGTTTGAACTTTTGGAGATCTTCTTTAGAGGCATCGATTCGAGTCCCGTAAGGCTACTAAAAAAATTTCTCACTGTTTTCAAGGTTATTTTGATTAGTCGAGGTACATGCAAGTTGACCTTGACACCTATAATTTATAAAAAGAAAAAACATATTTCAACTATGTTATAGAACATTTCTCGTATTTCCTTTTTGTTTAATAAAACATTTACCTCGTATTCTTAAAAAAAATCAGATTTAAACTTGTTATTGTGTACATACAACTTTCTAAAACTCTACGTTTAACTGATAAGGAACTAATAAACACGTATAAATACAGATTAACATCAGTTCTACACCAAAATGACATTATACTTCATAAAACCGAAAAACCATAAAAAATAAAATCAATAGAGACGGATAACAGAAGCATGAAACAAAATTCTCAACTTCAGCATCAAGATTGAACCGCAATCCAAAGGGGACATTTACCCAATTGCTTACCCGGTAAGCACTTACCAATAGGAGTCAACACTGTGATTGATTTTGATGCGCAAGATTTTAGTGCATCAAAACATATCAAATGCAACAATTTATTGGGTAAGAAGCGTCATTCTCACTTACCGGGTAAGACTTTCCATCATTCTCACCGCTCTTACCCGGTAAGATTTTTGGTTCTTCTCATGTTCATCCGATAAGAAAATTTATCCGGTAAGAACTTACCAAGCAAATGTTTAGTAAACGGCTCCTAAATAGCACTCAAACCCAAAGAGCATGGGATTAAGCTCTCAATTCTTTTTAACATCTTAAAGAAGTTTGGCAACAGAATCATTGTATTCATCCCAAATTAAATCATTCATTTTCAAAAAAGTCAAAAGTCAAACAACTTGTAATCAAGATCAAGCAAATGCATTAGCCTCCTACCAAGACCCTACAATAATTTACACACCAAAAACTGGACTTAAAAATGGGTCATAAATGACCAAAAAAACCCAGAAAAATTAACAAATACAAACCATACTACAATCATACAACCCTCAACTACTAGTCGTGTTATATGTGATTTTAACGACCACCGACAAATGAATGTTCGCTACATGACTTTGATCACCAAAAAGTCCGATTCGCCCAAAGCTTGCAATGCTGCTGTTCATCGTTGAATTCAAGAAGACGGTCAAAACCTGTTTTTCGCCACTCGCGATGAAAAAGTGAGCCGGGGTCACCTTCATGGAGACCCCATAAGGTGCGCTCCACCCCACGCTATATGACTCGTTCCGGCCGACGTTGGTGACGGTTCTTTGGATGACTCGAGATCGGTTCAGGTTTGCAAGTGTGATCGAAGGCAAGTTTAGGTCCGCGCCACTAACGTTCATGGCTCCACAATTTGTGCCCGTGTAGTTTAGGACCACAGGTGCGGATCCGTTTATGCCACAGAGGAACGACATGTAGTCTTCATAGCCTGCAAAATACACGCAATGTGGTTTTAACCGATTTGGGACTCCATTAAAGATGTAAGCCACACCGTCTATTTAGACAACAGATTAGTATCAATATAAAGATGTGTTTCTTTGCATATTACACCACCTTTTTATGTGATTTCTTGAGTAATTATCGGATCTAAGAGAAGATTGACGTACCCAGATCAAAAATCAGTCCCGGATCTAATGCTGCAGTTGCATTCACGAAACCACTTCCCATGTCAAAGGGTGTTGCTGGAGACTGGTTTAAATCCGGATTAGCATACGCACGTTGTGCCATTATCGGACCTCCATCTTTATCATGGAGAGAAGCCGTTGTCGATAACGCAGACCCGATCGCTGAAGGACTAAAATCCGGGAATTTTTGTTTAATCAATGCTGCAAGCCCAGCAATATGCGGAGCCGCCATGCTCGTCCCAGACATCATTGCAAAGTCCTCACCTTAAAGAAATGAAGAACATAAAATCAGTACACAAATATCGTAGCACTACAGCCGATGATGAAGCCTTGAATTTGTAACCAAACCAAACAAGTCCAGTATATCCCACCCGGAGGTGGGTCCGCCCCCCGGTGGTAGATAAGGGTGAACCATTATTACCAAGGAATTCGACCGAATCTGTGCCACCTGCACTCCAAGCTGCCCAAATGAAATTTCCAGGTGCAACGAGATTTGGTTTCAATATGTCGGCATCTTGAAGGAAATTGTCTTCTGGATCGGGTCCTCTAGCGGAATAATACATGATTTTCGGAGCGCTGTTACTGTAGTTTGCTTCTACCCCGCCTGCAATGCATGCAACTGCCCCAAATTTGATGATCTTTTTTGAAACCGGATCTCTCTCTAACGAAGAATTGTAGTACCGAAGTAAGATCTGCCAAGATAAACGAAAGAAATTGTGCAACGAGTTAGGTTTTAATTTGACATGAGTAGTTGGTAATTTACCAATCTTGTTCCATCTCCCTGATTTTTGTCCCACCTATTTTGGTGGGACCCACTTAGTTCTGTCATATCCCAGTCTAAATGTTGCACCAAACGTGTGACAAAAAGTTTATGTTCCATCTTGTCCTACATATCAAATGCACACGCGGAGAGCACGTTTTGCATGGCCCACGTTGACTAAAACCAAACCAACCCAAATTGAACAATATACCCCCCAACAAAAGTAGGGTCTGTGGGTAGGATGTATGTAGACTTGTCCTCTACCCAGCTACCCCACTTGGAATAACAGGCCAAATGTGTCAAATACCACAATTATTAAAAAAATTATATAAATCATCTTAATGATTTTATGTCCATTAAAACAGGGACAAACGACGTAAACCTTTGACAAAATTAATTATAAAAGGTTGTGACACTCTTAAAGGATACTACTCACCTTCGAATCATTAGCAGATGGAATTATGATACCAGGCAAACTCATTGGAACAGGATTAAGCTGAAAGCCGATGATAAAAGGGTCCATGGAGAACACAACTCCAGCTGCACTCAGATTTCTAGCTGTCTGAATAGCGTTATTTATGGTGGACTGTCCAAGAACGAATTTTATAGAGTAGCTACAGATTAAGAGGTTTCCTTGGATGATGGTCTGATTCAAGCCACTGGAATCTTGGCATTCGTTCACATATTCATCTGTTGGTGTTTCTGAATCATTCAGTGCGTCCGTTGCAGAGACCAAAGTGTAACCGTCATCTGTTCCAGCTGTGAAAAAGACAGAATGTTACTACATGATTACATGCCACTTGCCATATTGTCACCAAAGGGTCGATGGCCCAGATCGGGGTTACCAGTAGATCCCAACCTCCTTGAAGGTTAAGGGTTGAAGACTCACCAAAGATGAGAAGTGTGTGTGATTTTCCATATATAATATTATATACTCCAAAAAACATATCAAGGTCTCCAGAAAACTTCGGAGGTGTGTTTTCATTCTTATTCTCTTATCTTTCCTTTCATTGCTTCTCCCGTTCGTGGAGATCTAATGCATTTTTTGCATGGTGCCCCTCAAAAGTAAATACCTCCTCCGTCCCTAAATAAGTGTCCACATTTTTATTTTAGTTTTTCTCCAAATAAGTGTCCACTCTCAAAAGAAAGGGGCCGATTACCAACACAAATTGGGTAAGTGCTAACTGGATAAGAGTGCGGTCTGGGTCAGTCAGTACTTGACCGAGTAAGGGTCAGTTTTTTAGCAGCTTAATGAGAGTAATAGGACTTGCAGCTTATTTGATCAGCAGCTTATTTGATCAGCTATACACGACTGTTTGGTAGTGGCTTAATGATATACAAAGTGGCTTATTCAGTAAGCTTCTAGGGGGAGCCTTATGCAAAAAAACAAAGTTTTTTCCCAACCTGCCCCTCCCAATTAAAAAATACGCTCCTTCCGACTATGAAAAAAACCCTCAAAAACAAAATCCTTCCCAATCCACACAGACAGCTATATCCATACAGGACTTCATGGAAAACCAACGAAACAGTCACTTAGCTTACCAGGTCAGCATCTTGGTCATGATCATGGATCGGTAAGAGGGGCTTGGTAAACAGCAACACCTCTAACCATGTAAGCGTCTCTTACCCGGTAAGAGGTGGTAGGCAGGTGGTAAAGAGCCCTAAGTGTCTACTTTCCAATTCTATCCCCAATTATGAGATGGATTATGAAGGGTAAAATTGTCATTATGTTAATTAAAATTGTCATTAATCACACGTCTCCAAAACAGTTCGTCTCTTTTATTGTGAACATTTATTCTGGGACGGAGGGAGTACAAGAACAAAAACCTAAACAGAAGAATAGAAACAAATGTATTTAATAACTAAACATACGTGCAAGTCCGACTCCTGGAATGCTGATGTTGTTTCCAAGTAGAATAGAGTTGCTATACATTCTATCATGTGCAGCAGCACCAACCGTAAAGATCCACGGACTGAAGGAAGAAACACTCTTAGGTGATGGTCCAGTGTTACCTGCCGCTTGTACCACAAAAATACCCGTTTTAAATGCCGATAACAAGGCCATATCTATGGGATTAAAGAACGTTGCAATTCCCGGAGGACGTCTGTTAGGAGTGATCGACAAGCTTATGACATCCACTCCATCCTGAGCTGCCTGTAGAAAATTGGTGACAGAAGTGGAATACCCGAACAGCCAGATTAATTACAGGTCATCCCTATGTTATATAGAGAGCAATTAAACCAAACTAAATCGAACATACCCTTTATGCCCCACTCCGATTGGGCACGGGGGCGGGGGCGGGGGAGGATGTACGCAGCCCAGACCTCTACCCCAGAGAGTAGAGTGGTTTTTTTCTGTGAAGACCCCCGACATATGCAAAGTGCGCGAAAAACACTTACAAAACTTGCTCAAAATATTTGCAGAGAAAGAACAAAAGAACTTGAAAATAAGAAAGGCAGTGCTAAAACTTGAAAACGAGTTAGAAGTAAGCAAGAACAATCAACAGACAAACAAACAAATAACATACAAGAAAACATAACTAAGGTAGGAATAACTACACACCCCTAACCTTAGGACTCAGGAGATCTAACCGAGAGCAATTACGGAAAACGCCTTTATAACATAACAAGTGCTTAGAGAATGCTGTAGTTATTACTGCAAATCATAGCCGTCAGAAGGAAATGGTAAATGTTGATCATGTGACCTTCCTATTTAGCTTTATAACTGTTAAGAACCATGTTTTTAATTTATCGTTTAAACTCTCATCTTCTCTTCTTTTTCTAATTTATCTTTTAGGCATCAATTAAACTGTTACGATCTCATTTGTGTAAGAACCCGTCTAACGTTTTGCCTTGCAAAGCTATCAGCAGTTATTTTACTTCATTATTGACCTTGGTTCGAAATCAGAAGTACTAGCAGCAGCTTATGATCCAGCACCTTTCTGTTTTTTCTTTTGTCCACAACAAACCTAGATCCTCCAAAACATGTATATATATACTCAGGTTCAGAGGAAAACCAAAAAAAAAAGGAAAACTGAGGAACAACCCTAATAACCATTAATTCGTCCGGTATGCACATGTACATAAGAGTAATTGAAAATATTTCCAAGTCTCTATGCACGTGTGCATACCGGACAAATTACTTTAATGCACATGTCCCTACCCGACAATGAATGGTTATTAGGTGTTCCTCAATTTTCCCTTTTTTTTGTGGTCTTTCCGTTTCCCCTAAACCCAACACTATATATGTATGTGTGTATATATACATATACATATATATATACATATACATATATATATACATACATATATATATATATATACACACGCGTATAGAGGGAGGTTCGGAGAAAACCCCCCCCAAAAAAAAAGCAGAGGAACACCCTAGCAAGTATTCATCTGGACGGAATGCACATGTACATACAAGTAACTGAAGTTGTTTCTTGGTTTTTATGCATGTTATGCACATGTGCATACCAGACAAATTGCTTACAGATTACCAATCCGCACATGTGCATACCTCCAGATAAACAGTTATCAGGGTGTTCCTCAGTTTTTCAATTTTTTTTTGCGGTTTCTCCTAAACTTGACCCTATATGTGTGTGTGTGTGTGTATATATATATATATATAGAGAGAGAGAGAAAGCTGTTAAGTGTTTAACATATAGATCCTCCATGGGAAGTAAACAATGAAATATTCTAATCTAACGTCGGTCATGATAAATATGCATCAGCACCATACCATACCTGGTCAATGGCAGCAACAACATCAGCAGCAAAGCCACCAAAGCTTTTGTACAAGGCCTTATAAACAGCAATGCTGAAAAGAAAATACCCACAATAATAGATAAGAAAAACATACATGCTCACCACCTATGAAATGGCCACACGGGTGCCAAAACCAAAATAAAGCATCGAGTTTCATCAATATTGCAACACTTTAAAAGATTTCTTGAAATTTCTAGCAATAAAGCATTAATAAATGGTAGGCGAAACCAGTTTACTCACTGTGAACGAGGGGCCATTCCGCTGGCATTCCCGTAGTGATGCCCAGCTACTACAACTGGAATACCATGGTTTCCGGCAGCAATAGAAGCCGTGTGCCTGAAATGTTTTTTAGTGTTTGGGGTATTAGTGAAATTAGAAGTTCAATTGATTAGCAGACAAATTTTGCAGCTGGAAGAAATATAAAACAAGATGATCCCTAATTTATAACTCACAGGAATAACATCTAATCTTAACTAAAATAATCATATATACTATATGCACACATCCCGTATCTATTTTGTCCGTCATGAATTCATGCACTAACAGGCATATAAGAACAGGATTCAGTTACGTTATATTTCTTTCTTATCGGCAGAAAGATATATTTTCACATCTTTAATCAATGTTTTTGTTAGTTTCTCTTTATGGTGGCATCTTCGCAGAATAAATGGGAGGTATGTACTTCGAATCTAGGCACCACCCACCTCCCCCTGGGACACGTGATTTACCTCCCTCATGACGGTCGTGGGACCAGTATAATGGGGGCGCTTCAAAGGGTGTCATCATTCCCTTTTTGCAGAACTTGGTTATAAATCTTTATGGTGACTTTTAGGTTACTTTGTTCTTCGGTATGCAAGTGTATTCTAGTCATGCGAAGACTTTTTAAGCCTTTGGTGCATGTCCACATCCAATCAAAACGATACATGTTCATATTCTCAAAGTATCTTAACCAGCTATCATATATTGTTTTGCATACCATATTTTTGTTAACACATTTCTATAAATACGATACTCTCTCCATGATAACTGAAAATTGAACCCAAAGCTATAAAATAAAAATTATCATCAAATAAAGAACATAGAGATACTCACGTCCCATGGCCATCGCCATCAAATGGTGAAGCATAATCCTGAGAGGCATTGAAAATTCCTCTTGTAATAGCCGATGCTGCAAAGTGACGGGCCCCAACAAGTTTTCGGTTGCAGGACCCCGATGGGAAGTCTCGAGTGACCTCACAAATGCCCGTGAAGTGCTCCGGGACAGGATAATGGTTCTCTGATAGACCATCGGCAAAGCTCACATGGGTTGGATCAATTCCGGTGTCAATTAACCCGATTACAATTCCTTCTCCTGCAGTCTCGTACCCACCCTCTTGGAGCCAAGCCCCTTGAGGTAAACCGAGGAACTGTGGGGTGTGTGTAGTTGCAGTTCTAACAGAGTAATCGGGTACCACATTTGCCACCTCTCTTCGACTCGACAACTTTTGTGCCTTCACATTTTTAACAACATTAAAGGGTTCAATTCACATGAAAAATAACTAATATTCCTTTGATTCCAACATAAGGCATGTGAAAACTTTTTGTGTCAACGGTACTAGTTTCCGAATAAAAATTAGGCCATGTTTGGCAACCATAAGCTAACTTATTTTTCGAGCTTATTGAAAAAGCTCCGTTCGGTTAGCCATAAGCTAGCTTTTTTAAAAACTACTCCAAGTAGCATTTCAATAAGCTGTAGGGGCTTCTTAGCTCTTTCCACTTTTTCCAATTATACCCCTTACAGTTTTCCAATTAAATTTTTCAACATGTCCTTTTAGGTCATTTTGCATTGTCACGTAGCTTATCAAATAGTTTTTACCAAACATGACCGGTTGATAAGCTATGATAAACATCAAAAGGTTCAAATATATTATGATTGGATCGTCAAAAATCTATGATATTTCTATTAGTAGCATAACAAATAGGATATCGTCTTTGCGATAATGTGGACCATAACAATTAATAGTAAGAGAGAGGTTATACCTGTTGAGGAGTAACGAGAACAGCAAATCCGTTTATTAAGTAGTGATAGCTGTATAGTTTCAGATATTTCTCCCCTTTTAGAACCCGCCTCAATAGTGAATCATGAACTCTTGCAATACGTGAACCATAATTGCGGCGACCTTTTCTCGTGATGTTACGGAAACTAAATTAGGAAAAAACAAGTAAAATGACAACATAAGTAATGCACTGAATTAGGAGATAACCGAACACAAAGAGGAGGCAGAGAAATTGAAGGGTTGTTAGCATAAAATTGCAAAAGAAATCCCTTGGGCTCATAGCTTAGTTGGCAAAGGACGGAGCGACTTTGCTCAAATACACAACAGGTTCAAGTTCAAAACCCCTCCGCTAGCCTCAGCCGTAGAGTCAGCTCCGAAATGCCTCCTCACATGTGGTTCCTACGGGGTGGATTCCTTGTGGGGCCGGAAATCAACCTTTTGCTCAAATAAAATTGCAAAAGCAGTAAAAGCTTTACTCCTTGTTGTCCCTTGCCGATCTCATTCGATCCTATCCTAACTGATTCAATAAGTTTCCCTTCCTAGTTTTTCTTTCTTTCAATATCGATGGCAAGATTATACTTCAAGAAAACAATTCGAACAGATTCTTCCCATTAAAAAGTTTACAAAACCAACATCAATGTTAAAGTTGAAAAGCAATCACTTTGATCCCCAAAGTCAAAGTTCACACCATTTTGTCACAACTATACTTTCATCAATTAACATGATCACCATCACCCCCTCGGGCAAGTAGCTCAGTTGGCAAAGGAGACAGATTGAACCCCTCTACTAACCTCAGCCGCTCAGTCAGCTCTTAAACGCCTCCTCACATGTGGTTCCTAGGGGGCGAGTTCCAAGTGGGGCCTGTTGGGGTTGGCAATAATCAACCTTTTTGCTCAAATATGATCACCATCACAACAGTCACTACTTGGTCACCGTAAATGGTGGTAAAATGGGAAGCACCCACAATAAATAACCTGCAAATTTTCCTATAAATTTGTATGCTAATTAATAGTACTTTTTAAGTTCTAAACTCAAAGAATTGACCAAAAAAAGGAAAGCAAAACTCTAAGGAGTACCTTTGCACTTTATCATTCCAAATCTAGCACCAAATATCGATATGGGTTCTAAACCTTCTATGAATACATAAAATTCAAAGGAAATCAATCCAAATTGAAACCATTCTAGACAAATTAGTAACAAAATTGACAAAAAAACCCATACCATTACCAATTTCGCATTCAGAAACTAAAAAAACAGCCTAAAATGCATCTTTTCACCTTGGATTTTCGAGTGTGTTTGCTCCTCCAGAAGTAGAAGAAGGGTATCCAAAAGGATGAGATGGCTTTTTGGCTTTATGAGGCCTGGAATTATGAAAAGCAGAAGGAGCTTGTTTGAGAGTAACCATAAACACACCAGCAGCTGAAGTATCTGCATCCTCCTGACATCGAATACCCCCAATTAGAACCCCAAATACCACAATCGCCATTATTAACACAATGCCCTCCATACGCTTTTCTAAATTGAAGCTCTTCATTTGGTCCCAGAAATCAGAAAACAGCTTTTCAGTAGCAAACCGACAGACTAGATATAGTAGTAATTGAGGTTAGCTTCAAAAGTTCTGAGAAGAAGGCAGCAGGAGTCCATGAAGTGAAATTGGGGAAATGGAGAAAGGGAAAAGGGAAATGGCGAGAGAGAATCTGCAACAAAAGGGAAGAAAAGCTTCTGGTGGTCTTGGGTGGTGTGCACATGAACGTTTTAATCTTGTTTAACAGCAAAGAATGAATGTGTAAAGCAGAAAGAGATTAATATGATTAACGTTTTGCTTTTGTTGGATTATTGAAACCCCTTCCCACTCTGCTTCTTTTTCTCTAAGCACCCACCATTTATGGTTTCGTTCTGTATTATTTGTCCATTGATGTGCGATTCTCTCCATGGATATATACATTTAATAATATTAGATGGTATCCGTTGCAATGAGATATATTTTGATTTTAATATTTTATTTTATTTTTTTATTTTAATAATATAATTTTTTTAATAATAGTTAATTATTTTGTTAACATATAATTATTTTAATTATATTTTAGATTTTTTTATATTTTAAAATAAGATATTCTCCGGAGTACCAAAGGCAAGCATGACATCATTATGAACTGTTGTTTTCTTGATCTACCCAATTGGTCATAAATTTGAAACAAAAAATAAATTTTCCGTTTTCAAGTAGTGTTCGATCGATTACGTATTAATTTACTAGAACTGCTCGTTTTTTATCAGAAGCCCTGCTTCACCTTAATTGTTATTTGAACAAGTAAAAGTTCTGTACCATGAACGAAGAAAGGCATGAGATAAAATAGTGATCAGAAATTGTTGAAGAAACAACAAGATCGGCCTATTGCTCTTTCCTTGTGCCTATTTCGCTGTAGTTTATTTTCTGTGTGATTATATTTATCCACAGCTAGTTACATGAATTCAAATAATAAACTTTAATAAATTATATTTATGCATAATTTATTGTAATCTTGAATTTTAAGTAATATGGATCAATATACAGTGCTTCATGCATAAAAAATGGTTTTTAAGAGTTTTTGTCAAATGTTTTATAATATAGTACAAACTAGAAGGATACTCGTGCAATACAGCGAGATACATTAAAATAATGTTTTAGTTTATTTTTTGTCTCTATCGATATAATACGGTTTTATGTGACTTTGAGAAAGCGATAATGTTTTTATTCATAATTTTTTTAAAAAAATATCGATATTAGTATCTAATTAACTTTTTAAAAATTCTCGTTTTTCATGTAATTTCTATAATTCAAATTTTCATCATAATTTAATTTAAGTTTAATAACAAAGTAATTTATTTTTTGTTTAATAATATAATTTTGAAGGATAATAATTAAGTATTCTGTTATAAGTATAACTCAATAATTATCCTAATTATATTTTAGATTTTTTATATTTAAAATAATATGTTTATTCTGTAGTTGATTATGTTTATCTGCAGTTAGTTACCCGAATTTAAACATAAAACTTTAATAAGTTGTAATTACACATAATTTACATATTAAATGTATTGAACATCTTAATAGTTTGTGTTATAATTGTTAAAAATAAAATAGTTGTTGGAGTTTGACGTAATTTATTTAGAGATTTTGTCTTTTTTTTTTATTAAGCTGAATATCCAACCCGTTATGCGAGCCGACTAATCTCAGGACGACCACCTGCTTTGCAGATAGCGCGAAGTCACCGCATTTGAACCTCCGTGGTCACAAGAGGATTTTTATTCCTCATTGGATTTAAACTTGGGACCTCCTGGTACTTTTGATCTTTGGAGCCAAGCTCAAACTAATCAGGCATCACCCTTATGGTTGAGATTTTGACTTTCTATTCTCTATTTCAGAATAATTATAACATGGTTGACTAGATAAACTTTTAACTGATTTAAGGCTTTATAAAATCTATGTTAATTTTTAAGTTCTATTTATTTACAATATCAATTGTTGTACGGTCACCAGATATCTTAATGGACCCAGACGTATTTTGAAAAAAAAAAAAGATTTTTGTTTTTAATTTTCGTTTTTGAAAAAATAAATAAGGAGGTAGTTGACAAAAATAAAATGGTTTATTTGTTGGCAGGACCAAAATATCGATTCCTCAATAAAACAAAATTGTAAAACCATGTGAACCAAAATCGGCTATATTTATATTTTGTAATAATTAACCTAAACAAATATAAGTAGGGTTGGGTTCACGTGACAACAATATGTTTTCATGAGACTCGTGAGATCACTCTTTTACACTTGTAACTTCACAGCAAAATGTTGTAAATGTAAAAACAAAAGTCGAACCTTCACAGCAAAAAGGGTCCCCAACGATCACTGTCCGAAGGACAGATAAGAAAAAGCAAAGAGGGATACCCTCCACAAACAGCAACCAAGAACTCAACCAGTTGGGATGAAGCACCACCCAGACCGGAAGGTTGTGAAAAGTTTCTCTCTCTTGAAGATCCTGAGAAACGTTCGAAAATAAAAAGATAACGGATTTATGGATCTAATTCAAAGTTACTAAATTTGAACTCAATGAATGCTGACGTGATTTTTTTAAAATATAAATTAGATTAAAAAAAACACAGACAGAGGAAAAAACAAAAAAGGGGCCCAATGATCATTACTCGAAGGCAAGAGAAGGAAAAGCAAATAGAATCACTCTCCACACCATCAACCAAGAACTCAATGCTTGTTTGGTAGTTGTTGAATGATTTGGTGCAAAGTGATTAAGTGGTCAGGATGATTAAGAGACTCTCATCATATAGAAATATAATCTATACTATCTTATTAAGCAAATTTAACAAAAGTATTAAAGTCTTAAAATATTAAAGGACCAAAATACCCTTTTATGCTTTAGGTCACTTTTTCACCCCTCATCTCCTCACATACACTCACCCTCTCACCATCGATTTTTTTAAAATTAAAATTTTAAATTTACACTTTATACCCCCATAATTAATTAATTAATTTACTT